TTTTTGATTTATGTAGAGATGAGGTCTCGCTCCCAGGCGGGTCTCGAACCTGTGGGCTCAGGCAATCCACTCACCTCAGCCTCCCAAAGGCGCGGGATTAGAGGCTGAGCCACCAAGCCTGGCTTATTCTTTTTTTTTTGAGTTGGAGTCTCACTCCTTCGCCCAGGCTGGAGCGCAGTGGCATGCATGCTCATGGCCACCCCAGCGTCGACCTCCTGAGCTCTAGCAATCCTTCTGCCTCAGCCTTCCAAGTCGCCAGAACTACAGATGTGCGCTACCATGCCCGACTATTTTTTATTTTATTGTAGAGACGAGGTCTCACCAAGTTGCCCAGGTTGGTCTCGAACCCACGGGCTCAGGCAATCCACTCGCCTTGGCCTCCCAAAGTGCTGGGATTACAGGCTGAGTCACCGAGCCCGGCCCATTTTTTATTCTTAGTTGGAGTCACTCTTATCCATTACTATTCTTCTACTTTGTATATCCATTATTTAAAATTACCAATTAATGGGTAAGGGTATGATCAAAATCCATATCAACCCACAATGTGTGATTCAGTCCAATGTCTTTTTTCCTTTCACCTTTACTGATCATTTCTTTTTTATTTGTTCTCCTTAGTATGAATAATTGAAGCATTTCTTTTTTTTTAACCTTTAACATGTAGACATTTTTATTGCCTTGATTTCAGAAAAGGAGGGTTAAGATGTAGGAAAAATGTTCAATATGGAAGATATCCCAAGCACTTTAGTTTTAGGAGAGCAACTAAAATTTGTAGAAGAGGTAAATATTTTTAAAGTATAATGAGAAAGCATTTATTTAATGACCAAAGTCGTCAAATGGAATCATACCTTCTTCTGCGTTTTGTAACCACTCCACAAATTTCTTCATCTGGTCAAGAAAAACACTCTTGCCCTTAGCAACGTGCGCTTCTTTATACCATTTCAATATTGCTTCCTCACTCAGCACGTCAGCTGCAATATCAGATCAAAGATTTCAAAGTCACTATGCAAATGCCGTGCTTGAAAACAACTTCATGTCTCACAGTTTAATAGAAAATGATCTTTTAAGACTAAATGCTGTATTACCAAAGAAACCCACATCTGAAACTTATCAGAAGAGAAGAACGAAGTTCGTGTCCATGTAGTGCAATGCCATATTTTGACAGTTAGCTTCATGAAGACCTTAGTGAAGAGGATGACATCATCAGGCATGATCTATTGCAAGCCTATCGGTCACCATGGGGATCTGGGAATTTCTGACAGTGCTAATTTGCCGGCAGGAAACAGGATCATATTGTCATTTTATAGATGAATCAGAAATTCCAGGATTTTGGAACACTCTGTGTCCTGCCAAGTTCAACCCTATCTTGATTGAGGAGTAAACTCAAATGACTGGTCTTGTAAGGTTTTGTTTTGTTTTGGTTTTTTTTTTGAGAAAATGTCAAAGGAAAAACAATGCAGGTAATATGCAATAATGATATTAAGAATTAGATAGAAAGATGAGCTTCTGGGGTGTGTCGTGGTTTTGGGGTATGTCATGGAAGCAACATACACATAAACCCAAGTTCTACATTTACTCCACCACCAAGTCACTAATTTATTTTCTCACAGAATAATATTCTAAATTATAAGAGTAATATTTTACTTGTGTAGTTAACCCTTACTTGTATTCCACATCTCTATAATAAAATTGTAAACAACTGTTAACAATGTATTACCTACAACTCTAAATTCTACAAATGTGCCTTAATGTACTCAAGTCACCACTAACTGAGAATATTTAATGTTAAGAAGAGGACGGAGAATATAAAAATAACAGCCTACATACTCTTCCAGTGTTCTAATGGGTTGTGGGATTCTCAGTGGGAAATAATATAGTAAACAGATACAAAGCATTTATTGTCTCCAATATGTGTCCAATCCTTTACAAATGCCAAGCAATCCATGCAACATTGATAAATCGCTCTAATTACGTATTTTCAGTTAAAATGATGAAATGGTTTAATGTTATTTTCATTTACAACATGACTGACCTTTTCACTGTTTTTCTTTTACTTCTTTAACAAATATCAGCTCTTAGAAAATGCTCTTGAATTAAAGACACTGAACTGACTGCAAGTGAACATGATTTGCTTGTGAAGATGTAAGTAAGCTTTTATTTATTTTTATCATGAAATATACTGTATTTTGCAAAGGAAGCATGGTGCCTGGATTTAACTCACTTATAAAGACAAGGCAGAAAAGTTATCGTCAGGAGTCCTAAAGAATTACTGTTATCTTCAAGTTCTTTTGCTCCTTTTGTTTTCAGCCCTCTAATTTCCACTCAACAATCAAAGATATTTCCACTAGCTATGAAGCCTAATTTTCATAGAGGTGAAGGGTGGGCAGTTGGAGTCAGCGAAAGTGACTTGCTATTGTGCAAGATTGCCTTTCAAGAATTTCTCAAGAACACTAACAGCGACTTATTTATTTATTTAGAGTTGGAGTCTCACTCTCAGCCTGGAGTACAGTGGCATGCTCACGGCCACTGCAGCCTGGACCCACTGGGCTTAGGTGATCCTTCCGTCTCAGCCTTCTAATAGCGATTTAAAGTCTTCTTTGTGTAATCTGTAAACCATCTTTGAGACACTTGTGATGTGATCATTAATTTCCAACCTGTTTTGATCATGCTGCCTATCAGTAGGGCAATTTTGAGCATATATCTAATATATGCATATTTTTGAGTTTATAAATTATATGCGTGCACTATTAAACAATTATTATTATGTTTAATGTTATGTAATCAAAAAGAGTAAAATGTAAGAAAAATAGAAAGGGGAATTCTATTTTTTTCTCCATACTTTAATAAATTGGGAATGATACAAGGTATGTGTTGGAAAGTTGATTTAGACCACAGGTTAGTGATTTGCTTTGTCCAAGCTTTCCCAGCCTTCCTTTTGAAGGTAGAGAGTTCATTCCTGTGTTTTATTGCCCCACAGAGGCTGAAAGAGGCCATGCAACTAGGAAAATGCTTGTCAATGTTAGGGCTTGTGAAAAGGACACTCAATGATTAATAAAACCCATCGAATGCCCTGTCCTCAGCTAATCAGATAAACGGTGCAAAGTTGGGTTCCTAGAAGTTAAGAACCCAATTTAATAATAAATATTTGCTGTAAGTTCAAACTTCTAGTGCCAAGGAATTAATAGTTAAAAAAAAAAAGCTACTAAAGCAACTACATAGGGTGACTTATGAGGCAAAGTGTGAACATCAAAAAAGCAAGAAGAAATTCGACTTCTGTTTAGGGAGAGGTCTAAACAGGAAAGAACTCCTTGAGGAATGAAGACTGACAATTTTGTTCCCCCCACTAAGGATAAAGTAGGGAGAGGAGTTCATTAAAATTGGGAAACCAGGCTGGGTGTAGTAGCTCACCCCTGTAATCCATGCACTCTGGGAGGCTGAGGCAGGAGGATTGCTTGAGCCAAGGAGTTTGAGACCAGCCTGGGCAACATAGTGAGACCGCATCTCTACAAAAAATCAAAAAATTAGTTGGGTGCGGTGGCACGTGTGTCTGCACTCTCAGCTACTCAGGAGGCTGAGGCCGAAAATCCCCTGAACCCAGGAGTCGGAGGCTTCAGTGAGCTGTGATTGTGCCATCGCACTCCAGTCTGGGTGACAGAGTGAAACCTTGACTCAAAAACGAAAGAAAAAATAAAACTGGGAAATCACTTTGGGTGGAATGTTCCAGAAATGCCAATTTAGGGATATAGAATATCAGTAAAAGTGCAGTAGAAAAGGAAGACATTGCACACAGAGATTAGTGTATGTTCCCTACTATCTGGCCATTTCTCTGTGAGATTAATTGTGCCCTTCAAGCCTTCTCTTCTCCCCTCCTAATCGGCTTCAACTCTAAGTTTTGTCTTGCCCCTTCTGACATGGCTGTAATTCTTTGTTTGCTCCTATGCCCTAAAATTCAGGAGGTCAGGGACTATTGTTCATCTCATTTCCAGCATTTAGTGTAAGGTCCACACCATATAGTATGCATTCAACATATGTATAATAAATACATTTATTAGCCTGATGAGAAAAATGAAATATTTCTCAATTTGTAGGGTTCTAACCTAAAATGTAGGTGTTCATGAATGGGGGTCAAAGAGAGAATGCTGTAAAAGTAGTTTGAGAATTGCTTAATTTTACGTAATGTTAGTTATTTAGATAATTAAGTCTAAAACTATGTCACTTGGCACTTTCGAAATTCAGAATTTTTTATGAGGGATGTCACATAGGGACACAAGTCAAAAATAATTTACCCTAAGAATGCTGGGAATATATGTTGAGAAGGGCACTCACCTTTTTTTAGAATGAGAATAAGAAATTTCTCTTAGAAAAATTTGCAAGAGGGATAGAATTTAACCTAAAAAAATTCAGCAAACAAGAAAATTGACCAGAGAGATAATAATGGTACTTGAGGAGGTAATTTGATATTTTTTAGACCTACATATTATGTCTGTGGCACTGATCATCAAGAACAAAGGAAGATAAATCATTTCAAAAAGTCAATAATGTTATGTTTGAAAGCTAGCTATGGGTTCACTATTTCTTATTGCCTTAGAAATAAAAATATCTAGATTTTAATAGAGAGTAAATCATTGTTCAATGACTAGTCACCCCTCTTTTCTTGGCTGAAAAGCATTATTTATATTTTATTCACTTTAATTCCACTGCTATTTATATAAAAGATTTAAAAATCTTTCAATAATGGCATTCAATTAAGTCACCAAGATTGCCAAAAGGGACATGAGCAATCATGGCCCCAAGTTTCTGCTAGCCTCAGGTTCTGAAAATTTGGGGGAGGGACGTATGTGTGTGCGCGCGCGTGTGCTGTGTACGTGTAAGAAAGAGATAAAAATAAGGAACAACAGTTTCCATTATATTTTTTAAAAACCTGATTTAAAGCAAAATGTTTCCTATAAAAACAAAAGGAATCACTAGACAAAAGAAGCAGGTAAGACACCATTCAGTATTTGTAAAATGTGTACATGTATATGGAATCAATGATAAATATGACCTTGAATGTGTTACTGTAGTTCACAGAATTTGTCACTTCTCGAATGCCAACCCCTTAGACCAATGGTCCTGGTACAACAGTCACAGCATCACCTGGTGGCTTATTAAAATGCAAATTCTCAGACTCAGTCCTGAACCTATGGAACACAGTTCCTGGGGTGCCTGTGTTTAAACAAGCTCTCCAGGTGATTCTTATGTACATTAGCATTAGGAAAGGCCTGCTTTCAAACTCACTGTTCTGCAAGCTTTTCTAGGCATAGAAAGAGCATCTGAATCCTTTTAGAAACAAATCAAATGTGGCTCCTTGCATAAGTGTTTAGTGGACAAAATAAGGTCAAAGTAAAAGACTGGCCAAAAAGAGACAAGGTAAACACTGTGATGCTCTTGGGATGGAACGATCATTCATCAGGGATTCCATGTTCTCAAGAGGAAGCATGTAATTATATTCATTTAGCAAAACAATCAATACAATTTTGTGAAAAATTACAGAATTACCTAGAAAGTGGCATTTAAAATGATTTTTCAGTGATATATTTTAGGCTTCCATTTTCCACAAAGTTTTTAGATTTCATTTCCAAAAATAACTAAGGCAGAATGAAATTGATGTTGACATTCGCCCCTTCCATGTTCCCCCGGGTCTGCTCATACCTACCACAGACCTTACTAACTTTAAGTTATTTAAAAGCTGATTATCTGGTTAATGAATGGCCTGAGGAAAAACTAATGCCTCTCCCTTTTACCTCCTAGGGTGTACTCCTTAGGTTGATTTATAATTTCAGGGCACTCACCTTTTTTTAGAATGAGATTAAGAAACTCCTCTTAGAAAAATCTGCAAAAGCCGGGCTCGGTGGCTCAGCCTATAATCCCGCGCCTTTGGGAGGCTGAGGTGAGTGGATTGCCTGAGCCCGCGGGTTTGAGACCCGCCTGGGCAGCAAGACCTCATCTCTACAATAAATCAAAAAATCAGCCAGGCGTGGTAGCGCATGCCTGTAATTCCAGCTACTTGGAAGGCTGAGGCGGAAGGATCACCAGAGCCCAGCAGGTTGAGGCTGCGGTGGCCGGGAGCGGCCACTGCACTCCAGTCTGGGCGACAGAGTGAGACTCCAACTCAAAAAAAAAAAAAGAAAGAAAAATCTGCATGAGGGGTAGAATGTAACCTAAAAAATTTCAGCAAACAAGAAAACTCATGATAGAGATAATAACGGTACTCAAGGAGGTTAGTTTGCTATTTTTTAAGACCTACATGCTGTGTCTGTGGTACTTCAGGAAGAAAGGAAGATAAATTATTTTTAAAAGTCAATAATGTGATGGTTGAAAGTTAGTGACGGAGTCACTATTGCTTATTGCCTTAGAAATAAAAAAAAAATCTTCATAGAATGACCAATCACTACAGTTTTCTTTGCTAAAAAGCATTATTTATAGCTTATTCACTTTTATTCCACTGTTATTATATAAAAGATTTAAAAATCTTTTAATAATGGCATTCAATTAAGCCATTAAGTTTGCCAAAGGGGATGTGGGTAATCACGTCCCAAGTTTCTGTAGCCTCAAGTTCTGGAAATGCTGGGAAGGGGCTCTTGGAACTGAAGAATAAGAAAAAACCCCAAGCAACCAGTTTTACTACCTGCCAGTCATTCGAAGAAGTGTAAGGAAGAAGGCTGGCAGTGATGGTTAAAATGAGAAAATTGTTGATGGATTTTAATAGTTCACACGCCACCTAGATGCCACTGCCAGGAACAACTGGCTTGCTGATTATTTTGTGAATTAAGTGCAATAATAAAACGAGGTGCTTCTGCAGACAAGACACAAATGACTATGTCTCAGTTAAAAAAGATTTTGGTAAGAAACACTGGTTGGGTTTGTCATCCTCTAAAGGGCAGGAAAGCCAACTGTGTTCAGGTAACTAGTTGATGGACAGCTTGCTTTTCTGTAGTGGAAAAAACAGACCACCCTCAAAGCAAATGTGAAACCTGCTGCCTAGGTCTTTCTACCAGGCTTACAAGTGGAGCCAGCTGTGGCCAATGTGGACAGAAAGGCCACAGGTGGGCAGACCCCGCTTTTCATTCTTGGCTGCTGGGTATCATATGTGGGCTGGCAATAGGACCTGCAGGTTTGGATTGCTTTGGGTATCATTTGGGGAGCCCTAATTTTAGGGCGCTGCTCTCTTATGATCGCATTGGAGAACACCTAGCTCAGGTCTGGCCAGAGAATATATCGATCACTGAACTTCAAAAGGGAATAGGCAGTCATATTCTTCTACTGAGGCAGTCATATTCTTCTACTGACATAATAATTGTTGTCAGATATCTTAGTGCTCTGAAAAAGTAAAATATCACCCAAACACTTGTGGGCAAGATGCACGCACCGGAGTAACCTACATGGCCAAGTAAAATTCACTTGAAATGCTACTAAGCATCTTAAACAGCCCAGGATCATTTTTGTATGCTGTAGGTATGGAGATAGAGATCAGTTAGAACCTTTAGCATCCATTTTTTTTACTGCCAGTTGTCATGGCAACCTGGTCCTTATAAATATAATGAAAAGTCCGTAAATGTAAAAACCTAAAAATAACTATTCCTTTGGAAAATAGGAGAATGTCTGGACCAAGGAACTGAAATACAAAGTGAAAAGGCTAATTATTTCAATAATTTGAAAGTTAGCATGAAGGCATCTATAAAAGGGTCTGCACATAATATACATAGCATTTTGATAATCATTGTTAGTAGAGCTAATCCTTACAATTCAAAAACAGACTCAGTTTTATGTAATTATGTTTTTTACACCATCCCCAAGAAATAGTAACCAGCTCATCACCAGTCTTTGGGCAACTTCCATGTGAGAAGTGCCCAGGGGCCCAATTAGGATGGTTCCTTGAAGGGACGCATGTGTGGCTGTATGCCTTCTCTCCCTACATGACTTTCACGTGTTGGTAACTCGTTGTCCCCCTCAGACAAAACCCCATGGCCTCCTCTACCTCATCTTCCCCCTCTATCCCTCTCTGCCCCTCAACAAAACATGGAAACGTGGGGCTGAAACAACATGGAGGGTACCTTTATAGAAGAGGACCACGATCTTCTGAAAGGCTTTCATGAAATGGATGTTGTCGTAACAGTACTCTTGAACCTTTTGGAGGAGGATCAGCTCTGACTGGCCTTGGGAGCTGAACACAGCCAGCAGGGGAGCGTATTGCTAGGAAGGAAGCAGAGAGCAGGAGTGTTACTTGTGTGGGTGGCGCAGGACGGACACTGCAGGAATCCCAGCAGTAAACTGGAGGTTTGCTCAGAAAACATTCCCTTTTAGGACTAATATCTTCTCACTGTCATATTGTGCCCAATCAAAACGAATGCTTTTGATCCCAGCATCTTACCAGATTTCTCTTGCTACACCCACTACGAGATCAAAGTGAGAATCTGCCTATATTAAAGATGACTGCTTTTATTATTTAATTTTAGAGTTGTGGGGCACAACTGAGGATTTACTACATAAAAAAGTGGCATGCAGGTGAAGTTTGGGCTTCTAGCTGGCCCCCTCCCCACCACCCTGAGAGCAGACCAGGTACCTAGTATATTGCCACATGCTCCCCTCCCTCCTCCTTTCCTAAAGACAACTTCTAAACCCACTATGTCTAATGTAATGGTTAACATTAGGTCATATCCTGTAACAATATCCATTGTATCGGTGGAGGGTGGTTCTGCCATTAAGGGGAGGTTCTCCTTCTTAGATGTCCCAGAACCCTCCCAAGTCAAATGGATGGCTTTGTGCCCATTACTCCCTTCATGCTAAATGATTTTCACTTTCCATCACTGCTGTATAGCCATTGTTTTTCTCCAAGACCTACACAATTCAACATTTATCTCTTCCCTGATCCAATTAACACATGCGGTAGACTCACTGTTATGCTCTCATGGATACTGAGAGTTACCTCTAATATATATTATTTTGTCAGGTTTATGTCTGTCTTTGCCCAACTCAACTGTAAACTCTGAAGGCAAGATCTAAATCTTCCACTTGTCTTAAAATTTCACAAGGAGAAGACAATCAAGGCAAGCAAAAATGTATGTATACATGCATCAAATCACCCAATGTATATAATCATCTTCTACCACTCACACACTTTTCAAATGGCAATGCCAATCCATGGTTTCCTGAAACAAAAATATTCAATACCAGTTTTTTTGTAAAATAGAATAGAAGGACAGCCAAAAGTGAGACCAGACTTCTCTTTAACTTTTACAACTGTGTATGATGATTCTGTGGATTTTCTGACATTGTCTTAAGCAAGAACTTGCCTTTAGGTATTTCATAGGCTATTACATCTGAAACATTTTAGGCCATGGCAGATTTGTAAAGGAAAAAAACTCGGAAGAATATGTTTAGCTTGAGTCTGGGGAAACGGCAGTTGGAACCTATTTTTTTTTTTTTTTTTTGAGTTGGAGTCTCACTCTGTCGCCCAGACTGGAGTGCAGTGGCTGCTCCCAGCCACCACAGCCTCGACCTGCTGGACTCCTGCGATCCTTCCGCCTCAGCCTTCCAAGTATCCGGAATTACAGGCACGCGCTACCACGCCTGGCTAATTTTTTAATTTATTATAGAGATGAGGTCTCGCCTGCCCAGGCGGGTCTCGAACCCGCGGGCTCAGGCAATCCACTCACCTCAGCCTCCCAAAGGTGCGGGATTACAGCCTGAGCCACCGAGCCCGGCTTGTCACTCTTTAAGAGTTGCAGTGGGCTGAGACAGCTCCTTGCTGAGCTGTTACCTTCATGAGCTGTTACCTTCAGGTGCTTAAGAGCCTGTTCTGCAACAAGTTCTTCCTTCTTGTTCCATTCCACAGCATTCATGATGCAGGTCCACAGAAGCCCAATCACAGCTGTTTCTGGAAGCTCATTCCTCTTCATTTCTTCTTTGACATAAAGCACCACCTACATTCCACAGAAAGGAGGTCAAAAAGTAACAGGCAGACGGAGTGCTCCCCCCCATGGCCTGGTCAGTAAAAGGCTCAGGGTCAACAAGAAATAATCTGCTCATTTCTCCTTTCCTGGAAGAGATTCTCTGATTAGAAACCAGAGGAAAAATACAATGATTTGTTCTCAAGGCAGATTTATTTTCAGTGCAAAAATTAATAGGCTTAGCTCTGGCCAGGAGCTCCTGCACAGCATAGAAAAAGAGGACCTTTGTTTCCTAGGAGTTATTTTGACACAGAGGAACACTTCTGGGTCTCACAGGGTAGGGATACCTGAGCCGGTCTGACTCTTTTTGGGATTTGAAGAAGGCCAGAGAGCTGTCAACTTTTCCTTTACTCAACTTAAAAACCTCTTGATGGATGTCCTGGGTTTGTGCAAGTCCATTCTCCACAATTTATTCTTCAATCATCACTTCTAATGAAACTCCTGCCCCATCCCAGTGAAAAGTTAACTTGCAAATAAACTTCAAAGTGCAAAGGTGGTATTTTTATTTGATACCTATTAATTCAGCAACACTCAACAAATTATTGTCCTCTTATAATCATGCATAAATATGCAAACTTATTCTCAGCCCTGATAATGGAATATAGGTTTGCCTAACTTCATGTATTTTACATCAAATTTATTTGGAATGCTTTTTCTTTTTAAAATAAAATCAAATAGAGGTGAGGGTCTTAGAAATAATTAAAAACTATAATATTGGGAAACTACCAGGGAAGGGGGAGGCACACCTCATCAACAAGGGTAATGACCATTTGTATACCTAACCTGAATTGTACCTCACACATTTAAATAAAAGACTAAAGAAATAGAAAAAAAAATCATTAATTTATTAACTTAAAAAAACAACAACTATATTCCTGGCCTGGACTGCAGGCTGGGCATAGTGACACATCCCTGTAATCTTAGCACTCTGGTGGGAGAATTGCTTGAGGCCAGGAATTTGAGACCAGCCTGGGCAACACAGTGACTCTGTCTCTACAAAAAAAAAAATGAGCCAAGCGTCGTGACACACGACTGTAGTACCAGCTACTTTGGAGGCTGAGGTGGAAGACTTGCCTGAGCCCAGGAAGTTGAGGCTGTGATGAGCCGTGATCAAGCACTGCACTCCAGCCTGGGACAAGAGTGAGACCACCCTCCCCCAACTCAAATAATTATAATAATAAAGCTTAAGTACACTTTTTCTTGAGTAGTAGTACAATTTTTTTTTCTTTTTTAGTGACAACATATTGCTTTCTTTATTCCTGGCCCGGACTGCAGGAGAGTGTCAGTAGTGGGGTTTGTAGCCTTTGGGAGCAGGAGTAGTTAGAGTAGCTGGGCTGACCCACGCCCTGGGCAGGGTGAAGGAAGCTGAAGAGAAGGGTGATGTCTCTGCATCGACAGGCATCACTGTTTATCTTTTGCTTTTATACTCATGGAAAATCACGTACAAGTTCTTGCTTAGAGAAATATTGAAGATATGAAGATACTACTGTCCTTAAAGCATGTGCCCTAAGAATGCTCCTCATACCTCCATCTGCCAGACAGCATCAGCCCAAACCTCTCCAGCCTTGAACCATGTGCAGTGCCTTGCAAGGCTTAGAGCATGGTAGAGGGTGGTGAGAGTTAGGGATTTGGGAGTGGAAAAAGAAAACGGATGCTTCAATTTATTTATTTAGAGTCGGAGTCTCACTCTGTAGCCCAGGCTGGAGGGCAGTGGCATGTACAGAGACACTGTAGCCTTGACCTGCTGGGCTTAGGCAATCCTCTCACCTCGCCCTCCCAAAGTGTTGGGATTACAGGCATGAGCCACCATGCCTGGTTCAACTTAATTTTTATATTGTCATGTGGAAATTGTTTTATGTTTGAAAAGGAAGTTTTCTCTACACATATTAAAGATCTGGTTATAACTTTATGAACCATAGCATGTATATATAAGCTTTGTATATACATGATTACAAAAAAAAAGTTATTAAATTCTGGGGATACACATTTACTGTGAGTGTGAGTGTGATTAAACAAACCACTGATCCGACTGGTCTTTCCCTATGATATGAATCCAAACTTGCCTTTTTCAAATAAAAAGCCTATACATTCATACCAGAGGTGTACCGAACACCCCGTGTTGACCCAAACATGAACCAAATGCTTACCCAGGCTGGATAATCTGCAACTAAGTTTAGAAACATCATATAATGGGGTACACTGATAGCAGATGGTCACATCTCTTGGACAGATGAGATATTCTGATAATCATAGCAGCCTGGTAACGTATGTCATATGTGTGAAAAGAACTTGTTTTTTTATTTTGAGTTGGGAGTCTCACTCTGTCACCCAAGCTGGATGCAGTGGCATGGTCAAAGCCCACTGCAGCCTCGACCTCCTGGGCTCAGGCAAATCCTTCTGCCTCAGCCTGCCAAGTCGCCGGGACTACAGGCACATGCAATCATGCCCAGCTACTTTTTTATTTTTTGTAGAGACTTGATCTCGCTATGTTGCCTAGGCTGGTCTCCAACTCCTGGGCTCAAGTGATGCTCCCACCTTGGCTTCCCAGAGTGCTGGAATTACAGGAGTGAGCCACCGCATCCGGTGAAAATAACTTAATTTCTGGAACGTCCTAGTGTGGATTAAAATGCAGCATTCTGATCAGTGCTTTGAAGCTGAGATAATTTAAGCGGTGGAAACAAGTAGATGAAGTTTCTAGTAATAACATAAAGGCGATCTCCTTAAGGGAGGCAAACTTGTGCCACACAGGCCTGTAACTCCTCATTCGTGTATTCTGCAGGGTTGTCTGCCCGTGGTCTCCCACCTCCTTGATTGGGCACTCCTGAGAAAGACGTTCCTGGAGCTCCTTCTGTAGTTCCTTCCTGGTGCCCAGGGACTGCTGGACTCGGAGGAAGTCGGAAAGCTCCTTCAGACCTGCATCAGTGAAGTATTTAGCAAAATGATCCACGCTCTGTCTGTTAACTGGGAAGAGTTCCTGAGGGCGCAAAGGAAAAAGAGAGATTACTATATGATAGGCTATTCAAATTCAGTAAGCAAAAAGGATGCTTCATTTCACTTAGAATCTCTCATGTGGAAGAAAATAACAGAGACTGGTTTCCCAAATCGCTGGTGTATTTTTTGAGCTAAGCACCTTCTAGGATTAGGAAGTTGGGCAGAGAAGGAGCAAAAATGCTAAGCAACTTACATAAATTAGCTTCACTTGTTTTGAGCCATTATTTCATTTACTTTAATCAAGTATGATGTGCAAACACAGAATTAAATTTGCAAAATTAAATGCAAATAAGATAACTTTAGATAATATTTGGACTGTTTTAGTTGAGAAGAAAAATATTCAAGGCATTAGATAATCACATTGTTTCTTTATGAGTTAGTAGACACAGGTCTGTTTTAGTAATGCTGAAACAATCAGAGATAACTGCATTAACTATTATCATCTTTTAAATTTTTTTATTTTTTATTGTAGAGATGAGGTCTTGCCGAGTTGCCCAGGTTGGTCTTGAACCCCTAGGCTTAGGCAATCTTCTTGCCTCAGCCTCCCAAAGTGCTGGAATTATAGGCTTGAGCCACCTTGCCCGGCTGACTATTATCATCTTAAGGACCTCTATTCACAGACTGAGAAAATGCTGCTATTATTCTAAAATACTAGTTTGGAAGCTGAAGAGAATTTTGTTACACAGATTAATAATGGTTATTTTCTTTTTCTTTTTTTTTTTTGAGTTGGCGTTTCACTCTGTCGCCCAGACTGGAGTGCAGCAGCACGCTCCCGGCCACTGCAGCCTCGACCTGCCTGGGCTCCGGAGATCCTTCTGCCTCAGCCTCCAAGTAGCTGGAACTACAGGTGTGTGCTACCACACCTGGCTAATTTTTGGTTTATTGTAGAGACGAGGTCTCAGCAAGTTTTCCAGGAGGGTCTCGAGCCCACCAGCTCTCAGGCAATCCACTCACCTTGGCCTCCCAAAGTGCTGGGATTACAGGCTGAGCCACCAAGCCCAGCCAATGATGGCTATTTTCAAATTCAACAGCAAGATCTAATCTAAAGCCACTGCTATGCTTTCAATGTCCCCTCCAAAACTCATGTTGAAGTTTGGTCCCCAGTTTAGTAGTAGTGACAGGTGAGACTTTTGAGGTTTGTGGATCATGAGGGCTCTGTCCTCATTAATGAATTAATCCACTCCTGGATTAATGGGATTAATGTTTGGTTTTGCTTTTATACCCATGGAAAATCACATACAAGTTCTTGCTTATAGAAATACTGAAGATACTGCAGCCCGTAAAGCCCATGTAACCCAAGAATGCTCATTGGACTTCCACCTGCCAGACAGGATCAGCCCAAATCTCTCCAGCCTTGACCACGTGAGGGGCCTTGCAGGGCTTACAGCATGGTAGAGGGTGGTAAGGGTCAGGGATGTGAGAGTGGAAAAGGAAATGGACTCTTCAATTTTATTTTTATATTGTCATGCAAAAGTGGCTTTGTAAGAAGAGAGATCTGAGCTAGCACGCTCAGCCTCCTCACCATGTGATACTTCGGGCCTCCTTGGGACTCCTAGAGTCCCTACCAGCAAGAAGACCCTCGCCAGATGTGGCCCCTTGACCTTGAATTTCTCACCCTCCATAACTATAGGAAATAAGTTCCTTTTCTCTATAAGCAACCCAGCATCAGGCATTTCGTTATAAGCAACAGAAATGGACTAAGACACTCACCCTTCAGTTTATTGTATAATTTTAACGGAAACTGCAAAAAAGAGCAACATACCATAGCTGCTCTCACATTTTCCCCTCATTTCCATTTTACCCTACACAGCTTGGCAGAGTGTCAGCAACACTTAGTCATGATCTAATCCTGTGTGAGTTCAACACCCATCTAAGAAATGAAGGCACTTTTCAAAGCTTTCACATTTTTCAGGCTGCAGCAGAGTCTAAAAAATAGATCCCGACATTTGCATTGGTTAAATTTGCATATATATGGCCACAGGGCATGTGGTTCCAGTAAATGTCTGAGTAGAAAGCTCTGTAATGGGTCTTCCATCAGAAGACTCCTACATTAGGATTCAAGTTTCAATGTTCCCTGTATTATAATCCTGTTAATTTCCCCTATTGAGTCACATGTCTCAAAATGTCAGAAGAGTTGGGAGTACCTATTAAACATGCACTCAGGTTAAACAAACATTTCATACCACAGTGAAATTGCATCATTGATGTTTCCACAGTCACTGAAGAGCTTCCGAGTCTGCAGGGCAGGGAACTAATTTAGTTTTTATCAAGTCTCTTCTATGAATCAAGATGTACAGGGACTTTCCTCATAATAGTTGTGTAAAGTAGAAATTCTTCTAGATGATAAACCGAACTAAGTTTCAATGAGGTTAAGCAGCTTGACTCAATTTATGTAGCCAGAAATATTTAAGAACAAAGCTGTGTGGCCCAGAGTCAATCCTTATTCCATTACTCTGTGCTTGCATCAATATTCTATTTAGGTAGAGTGACTGAAAGTTTGATTTGAAGTTATGTTTAGAGCAGGCCACGTGCCGTGGCTCACATTTGTAATCCCAGCAATTTGGGAGGCAGAGGCCAGAGGATCGCTTGAGCCTAGGAGTTAGAGACCAGTCTGGGCAACAAAGTGAGACTTCATTTCTACAAAAAATAGGAAAATTAGAAGTGTGTGGTGGTACGTGCCTGTAGTCCCAGTTACTCATAAGGCTGAGGCAGGAGGATCACCTGAGCCCGGGAGGTAAGAATACAGTGAGCTGTTATCATGCCACTGCACTGCAGACTGGGTGACAGAGTGAGATTCCAACTCAAAAAAAAAAAAAAAAAAAAAAGTTATGGTCAGAGCAATATGCCACTAAACATATTGCTTATAGTTCATTTATGAACTCTATTCAAAGTTCTCATGAATGGTACATAATGTGTGGAAAATTATTATTCAGTTTAAACCGAGTCAGTAGAAATCATACCATGTCATTCTTTGACTTGGAACATGGTGTGTATTTCTTAGAGAAACCCGACCCTGGCCCAAATCTCCATCATCTCATCCCCAGATTACTGTCTCCCTGCTTCTGCTCTTGCCCCTGAGTCTATTCCCGATGCAGCAGACAGACTGATTGATTCTGCTGAGACGAAAGATCACAGAAAATTTTCCAAAAGCTTCTACCTCACTTGGAACATAAGTCACAGCCCTAGATCACAGGGGCCCTGCTGCTTCTCCAAGCTGATCTGCTACACTCTTGCTCTTACTCACCCTTCCCTTGCTGTTTCCAACATCCCGCACCCCAAAGCCTTTGTATTTTCTGTTCCCTTTGCCTGGAATGCTCTTTGAGTTATCTGTAAAGCTTCCTCCCTCACCTCCTTCAAGTCTTTCCACAAATGTCACCTTATGTCACAGAGGCCTTCCTTGACACTGAAAATTACATCCCATATTCTGATGCCTGCACTTTTCCCTACTTAATTTTTTTTATCCATAACACTTTTTACCTTTATCTATTTATTTTTTAAGTTGAAGTCTCACTCTGTTGCCCAGGCTAGAGTGGCATGATCACGGCTCACTGCAGCCTCGATCTCCCAGGCACATGCAATCCTTCTGCTTCAACCTTGCAAGTAGCTGTCACTACAGGCATGCACCACCATGCCCGGCTCATTTTTTGATTCATTGTAGAGATGAGGTCTCACCAAATTGCCCAGGCTGATCTTGAACATCTGGGCTCAGGCCATCCTCTTGCCTCCACCTCCCAAAGTGCTGGGATGACTGGTGTGAGCCACTAGACCCGGCTATATATTTTACTTATTTATTTGGCTTATTGCCCACTGCCCTGAAATAGAATACAAGTCCCATAAAGAAAAGATTCTGCTTGTTTGGTTCCTTCCAACATCCAACATCCTCAGCTCCTGGAAAAGTTTCTGGTACACCATATAATCAATAAGAAGAACTAAAGGAAAACAGTGACCTCCTCAATTTCTTTTCTTTTCTTTTTTTTTTTTTTGAGTTGGAGTCTCACTCTGTCGCCCAGACTGGAGTGCAGTGGCCGCTCCCGGCCACCGCAGCCTCGACCTGCTGGGCTCCGGCGATCCTTCCGCCTCAGCCTTCTGAGTAGCCGGAATTACAGGCACGCGCTACCATGCCCGGCTGATTTTTTGATTTATTGTAGAGATGAGGTCTCGCTGCCCAGGTGGGTCTCAAACCCGCAGGCTCAGGCAATCCACTCACCTCAGCCTCCCAAGGGTGCAGGATTACAGGCTGAGCTACCGAGCCCGGCATCCTCAATTTCTTAATCACTGCTCCCTTTCTCAGTAGTTAAGTGTTATGTTTTCCCATCCTCTCTCCTCTCCTGAGTTGCTATGAAGTTTTCTTTTTCTGTATTACGGTAGTGGATACAACTAAAATCTAAATATATGCTATTTTTCCAAAGTATAGTAGCTCGGAGCTAAAGAGAATTTTGGTGAATGTGTTCATGAAACATTTCCTCTTTGAGCATGGAACAGACTCACTCACTTGTTGATTCAATGAATGCCAGGCATAGACAACACCCTGTCCTCACTCAGCTCATGGTGTTTCTGGCAGAAACCACCACTTAAGCTTCCTATTCCCAACATATATAAAGATACATAACCTAGTAAGAACAGTTAAACAACATGCTGGCAAAAAGGAAAATAATTTTGTAAAGGAGATTATCTAATTCAATTAACCAGGCTATGGCTATTGATATCTTTAAGGAATAATGGAGTCTTTTGTGGCAAGTTGCGACCCAGTACACCTTTCTTCCCAATCCCTCACCTCCTCTCCTTCAGAAGAGTATTAAGAGGACCCTTCCTTGCTGCGCCTACCTGCAGGGGTAGAAAAGTCCTGTTGGTCTGACCCTCTCCCCCATTCCCATTGCCAGGCTCGGTAGTGAGCTCTTTTGCCCACAGAAGGTGAGTTTTTTAAGGTACATGAAGGGTTTGTTTCAGTCTCGGTTTTCCTGTCTTCTACCATGAGGTCATCATGGCCTGGATGGGGGCTGCTCCTTCAGCCTGGATCCCAGAATGAAAAAGCATGTGAAATTGAGTCACGCCAGCCAAGATACAGCTGATTGATAGACAGCCCATGGACTCATGTACAGGAAATACTCTCCATTCCTGGGAATGTCCACCTTCCCCCGCAACCTATTCATTAACCTTTTATGGGCCTTTGCTTCTGTTTCCAGGGATCTGCCCTTCGTCCCCCAGAAGGTAGGTTCTATGAAGGCAGGGAACATGTCTATCCGACTCTCTACAGGCCCTGCAGCTTCTAGGACCATGCACAGAGCAGGCCCATGAGAACTATAGGCTGAAGGCCCCTGATTGGCAGAAATGAATGAGAGTCAAGACATCCTCACTTTTCTTCTTTATCATAATCAAAAAATTTTAGAGACGCAAATAAAGCTACTAAAGGTAAACTTCAAGAGACAAAGGGATCTTAAGTGATTGAAAGTCAAGTGTTTATATTTTAAATTATTTGCAAGTGTTCTCGAGGAAAAGAGTTTGAGAATGATCCCATGGGACTAGCACCCCTGCACCCTGGAACACAGTGAAAGAGAAAGATAGAGATGAGACTAGGTGGAAAGAAGACAGACTTTCTCCTAGAATTGCAAAAGCAATTTCACTTCAAGAAATCTTTGCCATTTCACAGCTGTTGCTTCCAGCAGAAAGAATTTATAGGATGCAGACAAAAAATATAAGGAAAAAAAACATTTTTTCTTGATTTTTCTCTGAAAATCACAAAGGTGGAAAAATAAAATTTAATCAAGCAGTCATGATACAATTAACTTACTTGCTTTCTCCCACAGCTTAAGTATTTTCAAGGGAATCTTGTTTAAACTATTTGGTTAGGAAACTAACACATATTTGAGATCAGGCCAGTCTACTTCTTCTTATGACATCACAAGTATTTTACTATGTAGATGGGATGAGAGTTTATGTTAAAACAAATTTCTAGAAAGTTATGGTTACAAAACAAAGTCTTAATTCTGATAAAAAGGTCAGCAAATTTATAAATTCCCTGCTTTTTTTTTTTTTTTTTTGAGTTGGAGTCTTACTCTGTCGCCCAGGCAGGAGTACAGTCACATGATCACAGCTACGTAGCCTCAGCCTTCTAGGCTCAGGTAATCCTTCTACCTCAGCCTCCCAAGTAGCCAAAACTACAGGCACAAACCACCATACACAGCTGATTTTTTGATTTATTATAGAGATGAGGTATCGCCAAGCTGCTCAGGCTGGTCTTGAATCTCTCGGCTCAGGCAATCCTCTTACCTCCACCCCCTCAAAGTGCTGGGATTACAGGCATGAGCTACTGTGCTCAGACTACTATGCCGTTTGTTAACACGATACAGATTAAAATGAAATTAGTTTCTACTGCCAATTATACAGACATAAAACAGTGCTTCAATTCCACACAGACACAGGCAGCTAGTCATGGACCATGCTGCAGGCATCGCTACGGCTCTGACAGACCCTTCCAGCATGTGACCCTTTGACCAGAAAACACTTACAAGCAGCCTCTTGTCCAAGTTGGCTTTTCTCAAAGACGAGGTAACAGAGTTGGCATCTTTTTCTGCCATCCATGCTTTGAAAAGCTTGACGGCAAATGAGGCTGCAATGCCTGTTAAAAAACAAGAGAGAATTTCATCCTTTTTATAAACATCCCTTTTAAAGCCACTTGTGTTGGTGCGCACAGCAACATTTCTTACGAGGCTTTGTGAAACGGGTAGATAACCAAAAAACTTCATTTGGCACAAAGTAAAAATTGACACACCTCTAGACAAAGGTCTCCTGTTTTCATGACTCCAAAGAGAACATTTTCTTAAGAAGAAAAAAAAGGTTAAAATATTTTTCAAAGTTGGATTCCCTGATTCCAAACTGGTATAACTGTACATTTATTTTTTTTAACCTCAGTCAAAAACCTATCTTAAATCCAATGTCTTTGGTGTTTTGTCTCTGTTTTACCCTCTGGTTTATCAGTATTTCAGTGTTTACATCAGATCTTTAGGCACAAGAAAATAAATCAGGAGACACAAAACTGTCAACATACGTCCACTAATTTGCTGATAAATGATACCAGTAAAAGAATATTAATAGTGATATATATATAAGTATAGCTGTAAACAAGCATCCTTTATAGTATCATTTTTTGTATAAAAAACCTTTATTTTTGAGTTAAGCTATAAAAATATCATGGCTGTTTCAAGTTAAACTCTTCTGGATTTTAAAAAATGGTTATTGAGACTGGGTGTGGTGGCTCATGCCTGTAATTCCAGCACTTTGGGAGGTGGAGATGAGAGAATTGCAGGAGTTCAGGGGTTCGAGACCAGGCTGGGTAACTTGGTGAGAACTCGTCTCTACAATAAATTTTAAAAAAATTAGCCAGGCGTGGTGGCGCATGCCTGTAGTTCCAGCTGCTTGGAAGGCTGAGGTGGAAGGATCACCTGCACCCAGTAGGTCGAGACTGTGGTGGCCATGAGTGTGCCATTGCACTCCAGCCTGGGCAGAACAGAGTGAGACTCCAACTCAAAAAAAAAAAAGTTTATTAAGCTAGTTATAGTCACCAGGGAACCAATCAATCACATGACCATATTTACACTGTGATTTACTTCCAAATAGAAATAATGGGGTAACTAGAAGACAACTTTCTATGAACAACTTCAAGTTTCTGAATTTATGGCACATTTATTTATGAAGAGTTAAGATGGAGTTGAAATATTTTTTTCTTTTCTTCTTTTTTTTTTTTTTTTGGAGTCAGGGTCTTGCTCTGTCTCCCAGGTTAGAGTGCAATGGCACAATCATGACTCAATGCAGCCTTGATCTCCTGGACTCAGGGAACCTTCTGCCTCAGCCTCCAGAATAGCTTGGACTACAGGTGCATGCCACCACACCCAGAATTTTTTTTTACTTTTTTGTAGAGATGAGGTCTCACTATGTTGTCCAGGCTGGTCTCAAACTCCTGGGCTCAAGCAATTCTTCTGCCTCTGCCTCGGCTTCCCAAAGTGCTGGGATTACAGGCATGAGCCACTGCACTTGGCCTAGTAGAAGTACTGAACCGAATTTTCTGGATGGGAGGTTTCACTGTTGGTGGTCTAAGCGGCCTCTATTCTCTTTACTTCCTTCCTAAGAATATTCCCATTTTGTCTGCACTCCCTGGTGATTTCTGATTAGTCTAAGTCCTGGTACCTCCTCCTTCTCTATGGTAAGTGTAGTAACCTTGGCATAAACTCATCTGCCACGGCATTCCCTTGGCTACTGCTATTAGACCTGCACTGGTCATGGGGCTTGAGCCTGACAATCAGCTTTAGGAAAGATAAATGATCCTATGTTTAGGAGGAGTGCTCTTCCATGGAACCTGAACCAGGAAGCATGTTCCATAACTGTGCCAGAGGACATCTTAGCATGAGCAGGGGCCCCATCCTTGGGATGAAGGTGATGCTATGAATAGTAACAGGAGAAAATACTTGAGTTCCGAGTCACACTGCCGTTCACTCTGAAGTCTGTTTCACTTTAAAATGTACTGATGCTGGGGGTGAGGGCTGCTTGAGCCCAGGAGTTTGAGATCAGCCTGGGCAACATAGTAAGACCTGTCTCTTTAAAAAAAAAAAAAAAAAGAATTGGCTGGGCTCACCCTGTAATCCCAGCACTTTGGGAGACTGAGGTGAATGGATTGCCCGAGCCCGCAGGTTCGAGACCAGCCCGGGCAACTTAGTGAGACCTCGTCTCTACAATAAATCAAAAAGTATCAAGGCGTGGTAGCACACTCCTGTAGTTCCAGCTACTTGAAAGGCTGAAGTGGAAGGATCGCTGGAGCCCAGCAAGTCAAAGCTGGAGTGGCCTTGAGTGTGCCACTGCACTCCAGCCTGGGTGATGGAGTGAGACTCCAACTCAAAAAAAAAAAAAAAGTATTGCAACATAAGAAATATTTGTCATTTTGACCCAAGTCTTTCAGTTACTTGGAGGTAAAAGCATTTCATGGACCCATCATTTATACAGACACCAACTTCTTTGCCTGAATGTCTTCACTTGAATGAGCAGAGAAACTAAGTTAAAAAAAATGTATACACACACACACACACACACACACACACACGGCTGTGACAATGAAAACATGCAATATAAACTGGAGAAGTTTTTGTTAACGTGTTAACAAGTATTTTAAACATTCTCATTAGCTCATAAAACCAACATAAAATTTAACATAAATTTATATAATTAAATAAAAATCAAATTAACACTAGGCTGTGATGTAAGTAGAGAAAACTTATGTTTGGAAGCAGGCATCTTAATTGTCTTTGTAGCTGCCCTTCCAGTGTGCAGGCTGATCCTATTCCTCTTGACCATTTAAGTGGGGAGTTGAAAAAAAGAATTTCTGAATCTTTTTCTTTCTTTTGCTTCTGTTTTGATTTTTTTAAGAGAAAGTCTTGCTCTATTACTCAAGTACAGTGCAGTGGCACGATCATTACTCACTGTGGCCTTGAACTTCCTGGCTCAAGCGATTCCTTCCACCTCGGCCTCCTGAGTAGCTAAGACTAGAGGCATGTGCCACCATGCTGGGCTAATTTTAAAATATTTTTGGAGAGACAAGGCCTTGTTATGTTGCTCAGGCTGACTGGTCTTGAACTCGTGGTCTCAAGCTATCCTCCTGCCTCAGCCTCCCAAAATGCTGGGATTATAGATAAGAACCACTGTGCTAAGCCAATTTCTACTCCTTTTCTAATTAGGAAACAAGAGTTTAAAACTCTAGTTTCTAAAAATGGTGGAGTTTAGGGAAAACCTATGTGACACAGGCACCATGTTAGTTGCATAGCAAAGGTATTTTTCCCCTCACCCCACTCCCTAGCATTTTACTATAAAAATTTTCAAACACAGGAAAGTTGACCAAGCACAACAATGAACACTCATATGCCCACCATCTAGTTTCTACAACTGTTACTATTTTTGCCATATTTGCTTTATCACACATATCTAGTCATCCAATAATGTTATTTCTGGATACAGTTCAAAGGAAACCACAGATGTCACTTAGGTTTTTAATACAACTAGAAAAGCAATTATTTTCTGTTATGTTGGCTAGGATAATTTAATATAATTGCTGCTTAGTGTTTCTATTCCATGTTGATTTTCTATGTGTAAAATGGCTAATAGCAAAAATAAGATGTATCATGAATTCTCTTCAGGAAAACATTTTAAAATGTCATAATACTAACAACATACTAACAACAATCACAGAATCTGGATTGTCATAAATTTGAACTGTTTTAAAGCAACCACAATGGAAAATTTCTGTACTATGTGACTCTCAATTTACTATTCTTTTCTTAGCTACGAGAAGACTATAACCCCTTTCACTAACTGGCATGAATGAGACTGGGACTTCATATACGTAGGAGGAAAACTTTAAGTTCTCAGAAAAAACAGATGTTCTCACAAAAGCTCTTTTTAATTACTTTGTAAGGAAAAATGACTGTGTTTTGTGTTGTATTTAATTTGACTATAATTATCCTCCTATACGAAAACAGCCCACTTTTGTTTTATTCTATAACCAAATCAGGGTATGCATGCCTGTCCCACTATTTTTTTTTTTTTGAGTTGGAGTCTCACTCTTGTCACCCAGGCTGGAGTGCAGTAGCATGCTCAAAGCCACCACAGCCTCCACCTGCTGGGCTTCGGTGATCATGCCTCCTCAGTCTTCCAAGTAGCTGGAACTACAGACGCATGCCACCATGCCCGGCTGGTTTTTGTGATCAGTTGTAGAGACGAGGTCTCACCAGGTTACCCAGGCTGGTCTTGAACCTCTGGGCTCAAGCAATCCTCTCGCCTTGGCCTCCCAAAGTGCTGGAATTACAGGCTGAGCAACTGAACCCAGCCTGTCCCACTCTTTTGATGCCTTAAAATTAAAATGAGTCTCTTTCTGATGTAGCAGTCTCAATTTTTTTTTTCTCAACTTTTTTTCTCCATTTTTTCTAAAATGGAGACAATGAGTATCTTACAAGAATGACCAAAATGAATATCCAGCATCATTTTCCCCAGAACTTGAGAGGAAACAGTTAGGAAGAGTGGTCCTATTTGGGAGGCATTTTTTGGTGGCTGCAATAAATTGGAGTGGGAGTTGTAGGCCAGAATTTTGTGTCTGAGGGCAAACAGATTAAATGCCCACAGGCCCAAAACACTTCTCCTCAATGAAGCACTGTCCTACTAAAATATGCCAGAAGCATCTAAGTTGAGAGAAATGGTATGGGCTAGATCAATTTCAGGGTATTTGACCTAGACATTGGGTCTTACATCAAATGTTTTCTGGTTTTGCTTTAGTAGAGGTGGGATCTCACTGCATTGTCCAGGCTGGTCTTGAACTCCTGGGCTCAAGCAATCCTCCCACCTCAGCCTCCCAAAGTGCTGGGATTACAGGCATGCACCACTACACCCAGTCAATGCCTGATATTTTAATTTGCTATTAGTCTTTCTTTATATGTCTTTGTACAGGTGTGCATATTTTCTTCTAATTTCCTACAATGAATGTGCACACTTATTATTTGAAGGGATATATACACACATGTTCTCGTATATACAAGATGGGTAAGCAGAAAACACTAAGAAAAGTCATGGGTCTTCTGCGAACTCTCCATGGCTTGACTTTTCCTGTGCCATCTGACAGGTGAGAAGCAGGAACATCTTTACCTTCTTTGACCAAGTTGTCAGTGAAGAGACTGGTGAGGATGGTGGCAGGCAGAGTGCCGTTGCCCAGCAGAATCCCCGACAGCATTGCCAGCTTTGTTTGCTCTGTTTCAGAAAAGGCTTTAAGGAAGAGGAGAAGCTGTGGGTCAAACAAAAGAAACCATGTGTATAAAGCACAGGACGAAAGTAGGAAGAGGACAAAAGCACATACATCCCTGGCTGGTGGACCATGCACAGCAGTACAGATGCAAAGCATAGTTACTCATTTCAGTAAAAATTGGATACCTCCGAAAGTGACTGTATCAGCAGCATTCCTGCTCAGTTCATTTGTGCACAGCTGTAGATGACACTCATGGGAAGAAAACAGATGCTTGGAAAATGTCAATATGTACGTTATCTATATTTTTTTGAGTTGAGTCTCCCTCTGTCACCCAGGCTTAAGTGCAGTGGCATGATCATGGCTCACCACAGCATCGACCTCCTGGGCTCAGGCAATCCTTCCACCTTCTACCTCAGCCTCCTGAGTAGCTAGGACTACAGGTGTGCACCATCATGCCCATTTTTTTTGGTTTTGTTTTGTAGAGACAAGGTCTTGCTACAATGCCCAGGCAGATCTCAAACTCCTGGACTCAAGCAGTCCTCCCACATTGGCCTCCCAAAGTGCTAGGATTACCACCGCGGCCAGCCAATAATCTAATCTACATTTGATATGTACTTGAAAAGGTTAAGCATAGCTCGGGCATGGTGGCTCAAGCCTGTAATCCCAGCACTTTGGGAGACTGAGGTGAGAGGGTTACCTCAGTCCTGGGGTTCGAGACCAGGCTGGGCAACTTGGTGAGACCTCGTCTCCACAATAAATTAAAAAATTAGCCGGTGTGGTAGTGTGTGCCTGTAGTTCCAGTTACATAGAAAGCTGAGGTGGAAGAATCGCCTGAGTTCAGCAGGTCGAAACTATGGTGGCTGTGATCGTGTCACTGTACTCCAGTCTAGGCAACAGAATGAGACTCCAACTCAAAAAAAAAAAAAAAAAAAAGTTAAGTATACACAATGGATATAAGGATGTTTGAAGTATATTGTCTTTACATTTTTCAACTCTTTGGGTGACTACCTCTCCTGCTGCTGTATGTACCCATTTTCTTTGAAGAACAGAATTTTTATGGCAAAAAAAACAAAGCTCAAAACAAATAAACAAAAAACAGGAAAGAGTCCATGTTTAGCTTTTGACATTCAATATACCGTTTTCTGGGCTCACAGGATGAAACAGTCTTCAGAGCAAGACTGCTGAGGGAAAACGGGCTGTGCTGAGCTCTGTATGCTCTTTTGTAAATGTTTAGACTCAAACACAGAATCTTTTGGGCCACACGGTTGCATCACCAGCTTTGGTGATGAGGCAATGGAGGACACGAGGTAAAGGAAGTTCCTAGACCACAGGAAGTGCTTGCATGTGGCCAGGAAGAGTGATTCTGAGGGATTATGAATGGGTGAGGATGTGGCTTGGATCCTTTGGGTGCCAATGCCGCAATCCTCTTGCCCTGAGAGACAGGGATTGAAAATGCAGTAACCCAGGAAGTTCGGATGTAAGCTGAAAGCAAAGGGGGTTATCCCCCCCTTCCCACATTGAATTCTAAGAGTAGTCAATCTTGCTGGACACGCTTCTCTTTTCTAACTCTCTTCTGCCTTGTGCTGAGACCGTATTCTATTACTTCCTCCCTTTCCCCAGTTCAACAGATGCCACGAAAATTCTCCAGGGCCACTGACCCTCAGGAGTTTTGCTGATTTTCCATTACTTTGCACCAGTGGCACATCACTGGCATTGAAATAGACTTCAGTGCCTCCAGCCCAATGACAGGATTCTTCCACTAACTGTGAGGTGCGGCAGACAGGAACTACTAATTTACTATATTAGAGAGGTTATGTGACTCTCCAGACATTTACATGATGCCTAAGTGTTAAAGCTAGAACCAGTCATTTGTCTTCCAATGTATACCTATTAAATTCTCAACGAATTAAAAAAGAAGTCACCATCTACGTGCCAGGGAGTGAGGGAATAAGGGTAACAATGGGTAACATTCCTAGGAGCACCAGGATCGGCGTAGAGCAAAAGAAAAAAAAAGACCACAGAGCATTTGTGTCAATCTGGCCTTTTCCCTTGTTATAATAATAAACAACATTTGAAAGTAAATAAAAAATAGCTTCTAAAATAAAAACTTTTAACACTACTTCTTAAGCACATTAATATACTCGTATTCACTTAAAATGTACTCATATTGAAACAGGACAATAACTAGATAATTTTAAAAAGAATCCCATTGTTAAATTACATTAATCAAAATTAAAATCAGATGCTGTGTTTTTGCAACATAGTTGGCCTTAAAAGGTGGAAATACCATAAAAAAGAAGTCATTCTTGAGAGTATATTTCCTACATAAATATACATGAATGAAGCAGTTAATTGTTTTCAAAGTTCACATGAGCTGCGAAGTAAAACCATGAGTGTTATTATTAAACAAAGACATGCTTAATTCTTTTTGAATGTACATCATTTTTCTTATCACTTCCATTCCTTTACTTAGTTGAGCACGTGTTTTTTCTGAGCAACTAGCAATGTAGCAGGCCACTTTTTTTTTCCATTAAAATTTTTTTCTCGAGACCAGCCTGGGCAATTTGATGAGAGAGACCTCTACAATAAATCACAAAAACTAGCTGGGCATGGTGGTGTGTGTCTGTTGTTCCAGCTACTTGGAAGGCTGAAGTGGAAGGATTGCCTGAGCCCAGCAGGTCGAGGCTGCGGTGGCCGTGAGCATGCCACTGCACTCCAACCAGGGCGACAGAGACTTCAACTAAAAAAAAATTTTTTTTTCACATTAAAAAAAGGTCTTATTCTTTAAAAGACTGTATAGTATTCCACTGTATGGAGCATTGAGCCTATTTTTCAAGACTGATGACATGTTAATACATACAGCACTACAAAGCCATGCTAAAATATTTTTATAAATGAGACAGGGGTCATGGATTATGTGGAATTAAAAAAAACACTGCCAAGTTATTTTTCAGTATTATATACTGCATTGTTTTGAACAGGAGGAAGTTAGTAAGTAAGTAGCAAAAAAGTAGATGTCATGTTTACTTTTCTCACTTGGTTAATAACTAGGAACATATTTAAAATTGGAAACAATGGCAAAGCGATATACAAATTTGTAACAAGTCAATACAGGGAATGCTATACATAAACAAAGAGGAGTTACAAATTAGAAGAGGAACATATTGCAATGACTGAAAAACTTTCTTTATGAAGACACTACTGCGTAATCAGCTACTTATTAGAGGTTAATTAATTACTATGTTAATCATCTTATATGGCATCTCATTTATTCTCAAAACAACTATAAGGTACATTCCTTTTTGTTTTTTGAGTCGGGGTTTCATTTTGTCTCCCAGGCTGGCACAATCACAGTTTACTGCAGCCTCGATCTCCTGAACTCAAGCAATCCTCCCATCTCAGCCTCCCAAATAGCTGGGACTACAGTCATGCCATCACAGCTGGCTAATTATTTTAATTTTTGTACAGACAGGGTCTCACTATGTTGCCTGGACTAATTTTTTTTTTTTGAGATGGGAGATTTGCTATGTTGCCCAAGCTGATCTCAAACTCCTAGCCTCAAGCAATTCTCCTGCCTTGGCCTCCTAAAGTACTGGGATGACAGGCATAGCCGCCATCCCAGCTAGTACATACTTATTACAGATATTTTATGGATAAGAAAAAAAGAAAAACAAAATCACTGAGATTATGCCTATACACTTTCTGTCCCAAATGTGCCTTTATTACTTTTACCAAATTGCATCTTCTAAAATTAAAGATTTTTATTGAATATTCGCTGCTGTTGTGTTTTAACTAATTAATTCACCTTATCTTGATGTTTACCTTGATATATTTATTTTTCTTCCATGTCTGAAAATCTCTAGCTTTCATTTTAACCTCCGTGAGGTCAGACATTATACTGTTTTTTTTGTTTGTTTGTTTTTAGTTGGGATCTCACCATCATCCAGAGAGGAGTGCAGTGGCATGATCACAGCTCACAGTAGCCTCAAACTCCTAGACTCAAGCAATCCTCCTTTCTCAGCTTCCCAAGTAGCTGGGACTATGTGCACCACCACATTCAGCTAGTTTTTAAATAAACTCTGCTGCCTAGGATGGTCTTAAGCTCCTGGACTCAAATGATTCTCTTGTCTCAGCCTCCCAAAATGCTGGGGTTACAGGCATGAGTCACTGTGCCTGGCCAGAGATTACAATCTGTAAAACTATTACTATTGACAAAGCACACTGTCTTACATTAAATATTACTGAAAAAAGTCCAGGATAATCTCATATTTCTTCCTGTAACTATTCACTAATGATGTCATACTCATTCATTTATTTAACAAACATTTATTAAACACTATGTACATGGCATGTCTAGATTGTCATTGTATATGCAAAACTTTTGTCCCCTTCCATGCCACCACAATAAATAGATAGGCATTCTATTTGAATTATTACCTTTTTCATTTCATCTTCAAATGCCTTTTCCAAATACTTGTATCTCCTGATGAGTTTATTGAAGACCTAAACATAAAACAGAATTGTTACATATTCTGTAAACCACTTAAAAAGGCATAGAGGGACATATAGACACTCACCACAGATCTACAATAACACAAATGCATAGTTAAGTGTGCTCACATGGATATGAGGACTATACGCATTTCAAAAGAGTTATCATGACCTAGGGGGAAAATAAAACAGGACCAAAATGCCCATGTGGGATAAAACAAATTCTTTCAAGAACATAACAGGCAGAAAAAAAAGAAGGAAAAAAAAAGGATGAAAATGAATGCAATTTTTAAAACTGTGAAATGCAGAGAATAACCGAAACGGTGGGTTTATTGACATAATCACTTAGCTAATGACATAATGGGGTGCAGAGCAGAGGGCAGAAGAGATTACACTCTGGGTGGACAACAGGCATGTTTTCAGTAGATGAGCAAAAAATGTCATCACTTACAGTAAAGGATTACTGGCCCCTACAATCCACTTAGGACTCTGAGAGGTAGGGCCTATGACTCTATCAGTGGGATTCTAAACTGTTTTGTAAGTGAAATGATGTTTTCATTTAAATAGAGACTTTGTAAATATTGATTATTTTAATAACTGTGGAAATGATTTCTTAATCTAACCCCCTTCTCTTCTAGCTACATGCTATACCCCTACTTATAACTTTTGCCAGGTTTGTTTCTTAATGTGATCAAGATAAAGTCCAAGAGTGAAAATTACAGTTACAATTTATGGGGAAAAAATCATGACCCAGATAGGAAATTAATATGCATTAAGGAAAAGAAATACATGGTATTAAAATCCTATAAATTTGATTTCCAACTTACAGTAATACTCACATGTTTCTTAATATGATTATTAAAAGAAAATCAAATTCTTGTCCAAGAATAATTATCTAAATTCCCACAGGTAAATGTCTACATAACAAAGCAAAAGTTATACTATAAAAGTGTTCTCTAATGAGTTAACAGCATTAAAATTAAATTAAATTAAATTAATTTTCACCCAAATAACCTTCTCCATTTAATATCTCTTTGCCTGATCACTTCCTTGACCAAGCTTTGTTTGTTTTGTCAGTCTATAAGTATATAATAATTTTTAAGCTCAGAAACAAAGGGTCTTTTCTCAAACATTCAAATTTCATGTGAAAAACAAAATTATTTGTAGAAACTATCCTATTTAGATATAAGAGGATGACTTCATATCTTTTTAATATTTGAAGAATAGTTGTACTGATTTTCCTTCCAGACCTTCTTATCTTCCTTTTCACTGGAATTCAAATAATGAATAACACAACCTTGTATTGCATTAATTTAATCCTGAAAAAAATCCTGTGGGGAAGGTAAGGCAGGCATTATTATCTTGCAGACCTGGAAACTGCTACTAAGTTATCAGAGCAGGAATCATGATTCCTAGTGAACTGCCCTTATCTAATATGCAAAAAGGTGAGTGGGACATTTCTTTTTTTTTTTTTTTTTTTTGAGTTGGAGTCTCACTCTGTCACTCAGACTGGAGTGCAGTGGCCGCTCCCGGCCACCGCAGCCTCGACCTGCTGGGCTCCGGCGATCCTTCCGCCTCAGCCTTCCAAGTAGCCGGAATTACAGGCATGCGCTACCATGCCCGGGTGATTTTTTGATTTATTGTAGAGATGAGGTCTCGCTGACCAGGCGGGTCTCGAATCTGCGGGCACAGGCAATCCACTCACCTCAGCCTCCCAAAGGCGCATGATTACAGGCTGAGCTACCGAGACCAGCTGAGTGGGACATTTCTAAACACCAGCTTCTGAACTGAGCACACTTCTGCATACACCTTCTCAAGGTGTGTACAGCTATTACATACACAGCAGAGGCCAAGATTTCCAGAGCGCAGGTTGGAGTCTGGCCACTCAAACCTTTTGCTCCATTTTAAAAATATTTTCTTTGTCGGGCGTAATAGCTCATGCCTGTAATCCCGTACTTTGGGAGGCTGAGGTGGGAGAGCAACTTGGGCAACACAGAGAGATCTCATCTCTGCAAAAAATCAGCCAGGCGTGGTGGCACATGCTTATAGTTCCAGTTCTTCGGGAGGCTGAGGTGGAAGAATTGCCTGAACCCAGAACCTCGAGGCTGCAGCGAGCTGTGATCGTGCCACTGCACTCCAGCCTGGGAGACACAGTGAGACCTCAACTCAAAAATAAACAAAGTAAGAAATAAAGATAGGACCAATTTAGATTCCCACCATCAACTGCTATGAGCACATGGTTCTCGAGAGGTAAAGAAACAATGTCATCTTGTAGTTTTATGCCCATCTTACTATGAGTGTAATTGACTATCTTTCTATATGTTTAAGAGCTATGTAAGATTCCTATTTAAAAACTTGGCTAGCTGGGGGCAGTGGTTCACATCTGTAATCCCAGCACTTTGGGAGGTGGAGGCAAGAGGACTGCCTGAGCCCAGGGATTCGAGACCAATCTGGGCAACTTGGTGAGACCCTGTCTCTCCAATAAATCAAAAAATTAGCCAGACATGGTGGCGTGTGTCTGTAATTCCAGCAACTTAGAAGGCTGAGGCTGAAAGATCGCCTGAGCCCAGCATGTTGAGGCTGCGGTGGCTACTACACTCCAGCCTGGGTGACAGAGTAAGACTCCGATTCAAAAACAAACAAAAAAAAGGGCTGTAGAGTTCCTGAACCTAAGTATTTTCCTCCGCCCCCTCCAAATGCTTTCCTTCTCCAACAATGGCAATCTCTCCCACAGGCTTGACCTGAGCATAGTTCCGGATGGTTTCATGATCTTCATTTGCTGAAAACACACAGTGGTTGGTCATCTTGGTCTTGTCACCATCATCTATGCGTGTTCCTCCAGGGGCTGAAGAGAGAAACGTAATTCCAATTAGAATAGCATGAAATGAAGTTGAGGACAGCATTTGCAGAACAGATAAAATCTGGCACATGAAAGAAATCAATGAAAGTAGATGTGAAACTTAAGAGCTGTATGACATTTCAAAGAATGATGTGTATATATAGACGTATACATGCTGCTACATATTTGTTTATGTTTGTAATATTATATGGAGGGGTTGTTTCATTTCACACTCCTACACAGTGGACAGCATTGCTGTTTCACATCCTTGCTTTCACTAGATACTATCACTTAGCAGTCTAGTTCTTTCCAAAGTGTATGAGAGGCGACCCCCCCAAAACCAGAATTTATTTATAAAAAATTGTGTCTTTTGTCTTACATATTTAAACTTCAGTCACCTTTAAAGTGCTCTCCGTTTGATAAAATACACCTATTGGGACGCTTATCCCACGGCTCAAAACAGTTTTTGAACTCATCCATTTTGATGCCTTTTAGTGCTTCTGCTGTTTTTTGTTTCATCTCTTCCACATGGGCAAAATGTTTCCCTTTGAGGACGTTCTTCATCCAAATAAACAAAAAGAAAAATGTCGCTCGGGTGAGAATTGGTGAATAAGGAGGGTGGTTAACAGGGGTCATGCTGTTTTTGTTCAAAAACTGCTGAACACTCAGTGTGGTGTGGGCAAGTATGTTGTCACAGTGGAAGAACCAGTCACCAGTCTGCCACAGCTTGGGATGTTTCTTCCATAAATCGTGAGGCAACCTTCTCGAAACTTCCAGATAAAAACTTTGATCATTTGATCCAGAGGAACACATTCTGAGCGTACTACAAGGGGTCCACCCCCCCAAAAATACTTCTGTTTTTTTGGAGGGGTCCTTTCTTGTATCCTTAACCATGGAAGCTGAAGAATAGCCTTTATTCAGCAAATTTAATTTCATTATTCCGAATGCAACTCCAGATATTTCCTACTTCAGGACATAGATCCCTTTTTGAATTTGATAATTTTTATTTTTTTGAGTCAGGGTCTCACTCTGTCACCCAGACTGGAATGCAATGGCAAGACCATGGCTCACCACAGCCTTGGCGTTCCTTCTGCCTCAGCCTTCCATGTAGTTGAAACTACAGGTACACACCACACTAGGCTTTTTTTTTTTTTTTTTTTTTTAAAGATGAGATCTTGTTATGTTGCCCAGGCTGGTCTTGAACTCCTGGGTTCATATGATCCTCCTGTCTCGGCCTTCCAAAGTGCTGAAATTACAGGTGAGAGCTACTGTGCCCATCCAGGCTTGATAATATTTTGTGGGATCCTAGTTCAACAACTATAAAATCAACCAGAACTGACTTGTGTATCTTTTTGGCTTCTACTTAGTAGCTACTAAAATTGCTCCCTCTTTCACTAACCCAGTTACCCACGCACAACTGAGCAGTCTGCACTCTGATTCTCTGCTGTTTGTATTTGATTGCCCAGCAGCTGTGTTGGCTAGAGGTTAGTATTTTATTCCTTGCCATCTTTTTCTCTTGTGGACTAAATGGCCAGAACAAAAGAATGCTTTTTTCCTCCAATTTAACTTTTCATATTCAAAGGCTCTTCCTGTAAGTTTCAGTTATGGCCATTACAAACATTTGTTGATAAGAAAAACAGAATTAGGCCAGGCGGGGTGGTTCACACCTGTAATCCCAGCACTTTGTGAGGCAAAGGCAAGGGGACTGCCTGAATCCAGGAGTTGGAGACTACCCTGGGCAACTTCGCAAAACCTCATCGCTACAATAAATCAAAAAATTAGTCAGGCGTGGTGGCATGCACCTGTTGGTCCAGCTGCTTGGGAGTCTGAGTTGAAAGGATCACCTGAGTTCTGTGGGCTGAGACTGCAGTGACCGTGAGCGTGTGTGCCACTGCACTCCAACTTGGGTAACAGTGAGACTCTGACTCAAAAAAATAAAAGAAAAGCAGCATTAGAACATTTGGTATTCTTGTTTTCTGATTCTACTCTACCATAATTAAGATGGAAAGTTTGAGTGGGTCGTTAGATGAATACTTTTCATGTACTCTGCTAATATTTATAGCATATATAACTTATACCAGCACTGAGGGTACGACAATGATCAAAGTTCAAAAAATGATCAGGCCATAGTGGCCCAGGCTAATAATCTCCTTGCTTTGAGAGGCAGAAGTGGTAGGTACCTTGATGTCAGGAATTCTAAACTAGCCTGGGCCACACAGCAAAAAAAAAAAAAAAAGACAGATGTGGTGGTGTGTGCCTGTAGTCCTAACTACAAGGCAGGCTGAGGCAGGAACCCAGGAGTTCAAGGTTACAGTGAGTCATGATCACGCCACTGAGCTCCAGCCTGGGTGGCTTCATGAGACCCTGCCTTAAAAACAAAACAACAAAGTCCAAAAGACAAAGACTATCTACTATAAGCATTCTTTGATTTGTCAGTGTGGGGTAGTGTACTAACTGCTTCGATTTAACTTGCCTTCAGATCTCTGGATGAAGAGAATGGCACACAGCCACCTTTGTCAGGAGACACAGGCAGATGAGAATGCAGCTGAGCTGTGCCTTCCTCAGCGTCTCACCTCCTCTGTGCACTTCAGAGTCCAGCATGCAGTTTTGAAAGTAAATTAGTTTTTGGAGAAGTCAGCTCCTCCAGGAGTCTATTTTTCACTCCATTAAATTTATGCATAAGATTTAATTAGTCTTTTTTAATGAATACTACTACCTGGAACACAATTTTATTAAGATAATCTTTCAAAAACCCTGGACTAATTATTCCTATCTGATATAAATTACTTAACTGCAAAGTCTGATTTGGAAACTGTAGACTTTTAATAAGTTTTACAAGTTGTTTTCTTTTACAAAGCAAAATACTTATTACACATTAATAAAATTGCTACAGCATGCATTAATTTTTTTTTTCTGATATTGGAGCCAAGTATTAAGGCCATTTCTGTTGATTGTGGAGTGCCTGCTGTTTTTCTTAAGGTAGAAGTAAAAGTAATATATTTCTTGTATCTACTACATAAAGGGTAAAACTGAAAAACCAAGATGGCTGTAGTTTTAAGAACAATGGGAGAAGGTAACATTTTTTTGTGGGTGTAAAGAAAATTTCTACATACTGAAAAATTAAACAAAGTGGTCAGATTGCTTATATAAAAAGAATGTACCTGGCTGGCTTCCTTTATTATATCCTAAGTCTGGACTCGGTAGACATCTAGTATGGCACAGCCTGTGTTACATAAGTCATACCAAACATCTTGCCCTCCCTTCTTCCTTTTTTTTTTGGAGACACCAGGCTTGAGTGCAGTGTCATGATCCCAGATCACTGTAGCCTCAAACTCCTGGCCCCAAGCAATCTTCCTGCCTCAGCCTCCTGAGTAGCTAGAACTACAGGTGCACACCACATGCCCAGTTAATATTTTCCCCTTCAATTTATTTATTCATCTATTTATTTATTCATTTATTTTTATTTTAAAGATGTGGGGTACAATTCAGGGTTAGGTATACAAATGGTCATTGTACAGGTCAAGTTTGGGCCTCACTTTGGTCCCTACTTCACCTGGTTTGAGATCAGGTACCTTTATTGATGAAGTGTGCCCCCTCTCTCCCCTGGGAATTTCCCACTACTGCCAGTCCCTTTCTTATAGTATGATGATAATCGTTCAGAGTCCACTTATGAGTGAAAATATGTGGTCCTAAGTTCTTTGTTTCTGTGATAGATCACTCAGTATTATAGACTCTAAGTCCATCCAAGTTGCTGCAAAGTTCACAATTTTGTCCTTCTTTATGGCTGTGTAATATTCCATCACGCACATGTACAACATTTTAAAAAATCCAGTCCACTGTCAATGGGCAGTGTGACTGGTTCCATGTTTTTGTTTTGTTTTGTTTTTTTCAAGAATTGAGGTCTCATTAGGTGCCCAGGCTGGTCTCAAACTCCTGAGCACAAGCAATCCTCTCACCTTGGTCTTCCAGTATGCTGGGATAAGGGCATGAACCACTGCACCCCACCTTCTTTTCTTGAATGTGTGGGTGTAGAGTGAAGCAGTGAAATTGGGGCTGCAGAAATACAGGTGCTATAGTGAATGATGCTGTGAGATAATCAACAGGTAATCCATACTAAGTATCCAGGTGATTTAACAAAGACAGGGAGAAGGTTAAAAATGGAAACCAAGTCATGTAAGAATTGGCAACCCGAGAGGCAGGTGGAGCCCTAAGTGTCCTCAAAATCCCACAGTGACAGAAGGTTTAGTGCAACCTGGAGATTACTCATGACCGAAGGGGGTCCATCTGACCAACCACTGCAGTCATGTGTGATTTTGGCAAGAATCCAAACTCACTGAAGATGATTTGTGCATGGAGTATACCAGTATATCAATAATAATACATTATAATTAATGACATAGTAACAGCTAAAAATCATATGAAGAAGGTTGGGCATGGTGGCTCACATCTATAATCCCAGCACTTTGGGAGGCCGAGGCAAGAGGATTGCCTGAGCCCAGGGGTTCGAGATCAGCCTGGGAAACTTGGCAAGACCTTATCTCTACTATAAATTAAAAAATTAGCCAGGCGTGGTAGCATGCTCCAGTAGTTCGGGCTACTTGAAAGGCTGAGGTGGAAGGATTGCCTGAGCCCAGCAGGTTAAGGCTGCGGTGGCTGTAAGCATACCATTGCACTCCAGCCTGAGCAACAGAGTAAGACTCTGACTCAAAAAAATAATTATATGAAGTAGTGGTTGACTCCACTCTTAATTTAAAAATTAAAAATGAAAATGTTATCACTTATCTAATTGACAAATCTCTAGAAAACTAACAGAATTGAGTACCTGTCATTGCTAAAGTTATATGTAAATAGGAACTTATAATTTTTGACAAAATGTTAATGAGAACATTCCTTTTGAAGGCTAGCTTTCTCTGATAGGAAGATATAGATAGTTATAAATATCTCCATCCTTTAATACATTAATCTCTTGCTAAGTCAATAAAAATACAATCAAATGAAAGCACAAAGTTGTGCCTACAGACACTGATAACATGGCTTTTTATGATAACAGAAACTGGAAACAATTCTTTTTTTTTTTTTTTTTGAGTTGGAGTCTCACTCTGTCACCCAGACTGGAGTGCAGTGGCCACTCCCAGCCACCGCAGCCTCGACCTGCTGGGCTCTGGCGATCCTTCCGCCTCAGCCTTCCAAGTAGCTGGAACTACAGGCGCGTGCTACCACGCCCGGCTAATTTTTGATTTATTGTAGAGATGAGGTCTCGCCAAGTTGCCCAGGCAGGTCTTGAACCCGTGGGTTCAGGCGATCCACTCACCTCAGCCTGGAAACAATTCTTTAACATCAGTTTTGTCCTTACTTCTTTTAAAAATCATTCAGTGTGACACTCATGGGTGTGAATGGCAACAACATATTGCTGAATACATACAAGTCAGCACACACAGTTTCCTATTTGTCTAATATCACACATTCTCAAAAGTTTATGAAGTAAAGAGATTTCTAGAAGGGAATTAACTGAGATATTAACAATGGTTATTTCTGAGTATTGGGATTTGAACACAGGATATATAGCTATTAGACTTGAATTATCTCACAGTGATAAAGTGAGGTCTTTAGAAACAGAACTCATTCAGTTTTGTAGTGAAAACCAGCAATGCAGAACTACAGAAGGCCTGGTAAAAATGGGGCCATGTATCAAAACAGATTGCTTGAAATAAGAGTTCAGAGAGATCAGGTAGCTCATGCCTGTAATCCCAGCAGTTTGGGAGGCAGAAATGAGAGGACAGCCTGAGCCCAGGGATTCAAGATCAGCCTGGGCAACTTGGCACGACCTAGCCTCTACAGTGAATAAAAAAATCAGCTGGGTGTGGTGGTGTGGGCCTGTAGTTCCAGCTACTTGAAAGGCTGAGGTGGAAGGATTGCCTAAGCCCCTAGGTCGAGGATGTGGTGGCTGTGAGTGTGCCACTGTGCTGCAGTCTGGGTGACCGAGTGAGATTCTGACTCAAAGAGCTCAAAGGAAAAAGAATTTAAGGGAGGCTCCCCCTCAAAATGGAGGAATGTATCCAAGCCAAAGTAGACTGGCTTTTGCAGTGTTTTGCAAGGATAGGCACTCATGGCATTTTGGGCAAGGCACTCTTTCACTGTGTTGCATGTCCCTTGCATAGCAGAGAAGTTCACGTTCCTGGCCCTTACCCACAAGTCTTTGTAACAACCCAAAACACCTACACACACTTGTAAACTGAAAGCCACTGACCTAGGAGACTGAACCTCCTCTAGTGATGTTTGGCTACCACAGGAATAAATTATAAGAATGACTCTGAGAGGAAAAATGGGTGGTTATGAAACCTAGTAAACATTGGATCAACTATTTCATACATTTATTATTCTGAAGCCTTCTTCCCCAACATCTCTACTCTGAGATGTAGCTTTTATTTAGCCCTTACCTACCTTTAACCACTTCTAACCTATCTTTAATCCTTCTAGCTATATACTCACAATAAAAGGATTTTATTTAAATGCATTTTTAGGCATTTTACTATTTATGGATGAAACAGCATTCAATAAACTTTGGAAATTATTTTTAAACTTGTTGACACAGTTACATTTCAATGAAAAAGGGGTGGAGTTTTAAAGAAAAGCTGCTGTGTGACATCTGGGTTCACTAAGTGTATCAGATGACATGCACAGAATTACATTCTTCTGCAGAAAACCCATCCTATGGCCTCTCCAAAAACATTAGGGACACATAAGAAAATAGACACTAAGTAACCAACATGTAATGTCAACAAAATCCTTCAACTCTTCACCTTTATTAACCAACAATTCACACAATTCCAAATTGTAGGGCAAGTAAAAATTGTAAACTCCTACTGGGTGGGGTGCCTCACTCCTATAATCTCAGCACTTTGGGAGGCTGAAGAGGGAAGGTCACTTAAGCCCAGGACAACCTGGGCAACCTAGTGAGACTTTGCCTCTATAAAAAAAAAAAAAAAAATCAGCCAGGTGTGGTAGCATGTGCCTTTAGTTCTAGCTACTTGGAAGGCTGAGGTGGGAGAATCACTTGAGCCCAGCAGGTCAAGGCTGCAGTAGCTGTGAGCGTGTGCCTGCACACCAGGCTGGGCGATAGAGTGAGACCCTGACTTAAAACAAAAGAAAAAAAATTATAGACTCTCATTTGTATTTTTAATATCAACCCTAATAATATCAGCTTATAACAATTCTACCTTATGCATAAATACTTCAGTAGAACTGGAAACATGTACAGTACAAGAAGATGCGATAACACATGGTTTACCAAGCATACTGCCAGCCACCAGGATATCGAAGAGTGTGTCTGCATAGCGACGATAATCTAATCGTGAGCCTGTGGAATCCAGAAACTTGGCTACAGCCTCAAGGTCATCACCAGCTTCATTAAGTCCCTGGACGAGTGTATCCCTGAAGACTGTGGGTTCGAATTTCTCTTTTTCATCTAAAATAAAAAAAGGATAAAATGATTCCTTTCTATGGGCCTCATATTTTCCAGAGACCAATCATACACTTCCCTTGTTCACTGTTCTGTATTTGATAGTGTAGTTGTTTGAAAGGTGAGGGTCAATTTTTCTATCAGATTTCCGAGTTCTGAAACTGATTGTTTAAGACATTTATTCAAGCAAATAATTTGTTTCTGTTCAGTGGGGCCACAAAAATATTTTAAGACTCTAATACACCATGAAACTGATGACTGTTCATATACATTATTCATAGGAGAGGTTAATGTCATCTACTCTCTCTAACCATCAGAGAAAAAACAAAGAGTATGACAATCACAACTTAAATTTGCATTTCATCCAAGATAAAGAAAGGAAGTGACCAACAGGGAATACAAGAGGAAATATAAATGTAAACAAAAGTGGAGAGAAGGAAAATAAGGAAGAATATCTCTACTAAAAGATTGATTACACCAAGATTACTTAAATATTAAATAAATGTTATGAAGTATATGTATTTATTTATAGCTTTGGGGCAGATGCTCTAACATTTTTGGTCTCATGACCCCTTAATACTGCTAAAAAAGTACTGAGGATTCCAGAGAGATTTTTTTACTTATGGAGGTTGCAGCTATGGATGTTAATTTTACTACAAATTACAATAGGGCCAGGTGCTTGCACCTGTCATCCCAGAACTTTGGGAGGTGAGGCTGGAGGATTGCTTGAGGCCAGGAGTTTGAGACCAGCTCAAGCAATATAGTGAGACTCTCCATATCTACAAAACAAAAACAAAAACAAAAACAAAAAACTGCCAGACATGGTGGCATGTGCCTATAGTTCCAGCTACTTGGGAGGCTGATACAGGAGGATTGCTTGAGCCCAGGAGTTTGAGGTACCAGGGAGCTATGATTGTGCCACTGCATTCCACCTAGCTGACAGAGCCAGACTCTGTCTCAAAAAGAATTCAAACACAAAATTTTAGAATATCTATTTATTAAACAAACAAAAGTCAACAAGAAGTATAGCATTACTTCACATTTATATAAATTATTTTAATGCCTGGCTTAATGGCAGACAGACATATCCTCACTTCTACCACGTTCAATTTACTGCAATATCGTACATCCTATAGACTCTGGAAAACTCTACTATAAACTCATGAGAACAATGTGTGAAGGGGCAAATGTCTCAGTACTATTATAAACACAGTTCTGATTTTGTGGAACTCCTAAAGGGATTTTAGAGGACTTAAGAGGATGTAGATATTATGTAGTTTTTAAATCTTTAACAAACACGAATGAGGCAAATATACAAGAATCACAAAGGCACACGTTAAAGGCACAATGACCACTTCAGCGAGGTAGACACGAGAGTGTGAAGGAGAAGCAGTATGGCATGGTGGCTGAAGGTCAGGGCTTGGAAAGAATGTTGGTCTAGACTCTAGCAAGGCTTCTTGTGGAAGGTTGGTTTGAAGCCAGATCTTGAACAAAGCAGAGATCACGTGCTATTCAAAGTAAGTGAAGAAGACAAACCAGAGATCAGACTAGATGGGAAAAAAATGAGTGGATTAAAGGGAAAGGATCTAAGACTCAATTCAAAGGACATCACCTTTTTTTTTTAACCACTTACGTCTGCATATGGGACTAGAGGACCAAAGAATGAACCCAAAACTTAAAAAAAAAAAAAAAATAGGCTGGGTGTTGTGACTCACGCCTGTAATCCCAGCACTTTGGGAGGCCGAAATGAGAGGATTGCTTGATCTCGGGAGTTTGAGACTTGCCTAGGCAACATAGTGAGGCCTAGTGACTACAAAAATTGAGAAATTTGCCTGAGTCCAAAAGGTCAAAGCTGTGGTGAGCCGTGATCATGCCACAGCCCTCTAACCTGGGCGACAGAGTGACACCTCGACTCAAAAAAATTAAAAATAAACAAAAGAGAAAATCAAATCCTAACTCTCTTTAGAGAGATAAGTGAAGATATTAGAAGAAAGAGGAGGTGAAGACAGAGGGGAGGAGTAAGGAAAATATAAAAATATTTCATGAATAAAAAGTTATTGGAAATGAAAAATATAGTAAAAATGTGAAAAATTCAAAGGAAAAAAGAAAAGCCTGAGAATATCTTTTAGAAACAAGAATAAAAATTCAAATACCTAGAAAATAGTAGCAAAAAGAAAAGAAAAAAGATACTTTAAATAACCAAATAATAAGCATAATACAAAGGCAGTGTGAAAAAAAGGAAATTATTTTAAACATGGCAATAAATTTTCACCAAATGGAAGGACGTGAGTTTTTAAATAAAGGGCTGTCTGGCACCCAGTGCAATGGTTGAAAGTGGACCCAGACAAGGTACATTCATTATTGTGAAATTTCAGAATCCCGGGAACAAAGCAACTGTCTGAAGTTTCTGGGGCAAAAAAACAAGTGACATCTGAAGTATCAAGAAACAGAATGGCATTGAATTGCTCAACAGAGCTACCAGAACCCAGAAGAAATGTCTTCGAAATTCTGAGGGAAATTAATTTCCAACCTAGAATTACGGTCAGTGTTCAGCTAAAACATTAAGCAAGTAAGGGTAGAATGAATCTGTGAAACACACAAGGCCTCAAAAATAGAGAATCACTAAGGAGTAAGCTCATGAGGTCCCAGGAAATAGGGCGAAAACATGGCACAGGCCATAGTACTCTCTGGTATGATGTTGAAACAACATTTCCAGCATTTCATGTGGACACCTCTACAGCTGGCCTAGACAGCAAGTTGACCAGGAGAGAGTTCAATCAAATGTAAGAATTCCTTCAATTTTATCTCTGCCAGAATTCCTCAAATGTTTTGTCTAAAGATTATACAACAAATGGAAAGGTGAGGGTTGGCTAGTTTTAAGGCACAGAAAACTAAGCCAAAAACTAAGATACATTGATACATGAATGAAATCCAGAGGTAACAAAACAGTGTTCAGAAAAAGAAAAGCAATCAAAAGAACAGTTCAGATGAGGATAGCATGTACAAAGTCACAATAACATAAACCCTAAACAATGGTCTGGCAGAAACAATGATATAATGAAGGGATAGAGGGGGGATGGGAGGTGGGAGAGTGGCAGTGAACGAGCTGAATCCTCCTCGCGGCCCCTAGTAGGAAGTGTATATTTCATACCCCCAACAGAAAAGTCAAGAACCAGTCAGACCCATGTGCAGGCACAGTTTTAATAAAATTCAAAACTTCGTTGAAAAACCACAGAGCAACTGCCTAGTTTGCTCAGTGGTCTAAAGGAATGGGCTGTAAATGGTTAACACCAATCTCATCCGCATTAGAACTAGAGAAGAATGGCATTCCCAGTACCAGTCAGAGTCACACAGCGTGAGATACCATAAAGACATACATAAATTAACCGGAACAACATTCATCATGAACAAGAGATGAAAAGTCCTTTTGATGCTGTAAGCAAAACATTATGCAGCCAAGAACATGCAAATGTTGACTGCAGGAAAAATATAATTAGGGTCTTGTTGTGTGGAGGGGGAGGAAAAACAGATAGGAACTCCCCAGGAATGTATTATGTGGGACTGGAGGAGGGGACAACGGTCTCCATGTTTCAAGAGGCACCCGCTGGCAAGCAGAGAAAACCTGACCTCCTACTCAGGGTTCAGCCAAAGGGTAATTCTCTTTGCCCCTCGGAGAGAGATGTTTTCTTTCCTATGATGTGCGAACAGCAGAAGTAAAAGGACCTCAGCTGTTGATTAAGTCTTGTGACCAGCTTCCAGAATCAATTGAGGCCATCCCCACAATGGCCCGACAACACGCTTGGATGCTGATTTCAGGTGATAGGACAGATTTTTGATAACTTGAAAAGTACAAATGAAGGCACTGGGAAATATAAGTTGGTAAACAAGGAAAAACCCAGACTAGGCCAAGAATCCATGCTTTGAATTTAAGAGATACCTTAAAAACTTGTTTGTAAAAAGGCCTTCATCCTTCCATTATACTTTTCCAAAAGAATTACCAAGAAAAAGGCAAAGGAAGACAGCAAATCTTAGCCAAGGATATGTCAATAAGTGAGCAATAACGTTTAGGTCAAAATGATCACTAAGAGCTTGGGAGTCTGATGGCATGATAGAACAAATAACTATAATTATTTTTTCATTAATGCATTAATTTATAGTAGTGAATTACTGAAAAAAAAAGCTCCTACCTGCTATGACAAAGTGCCCATGAAGAAGAAAAAAAATCCCTGTATGAGAACATGGAAAAGAACAAGACTGGGGATTTAAGAAACAAGACAACATTCTACCCAAGGAATCTTTTTCATTTGAAATAACAGTATTTGTAGTCTGTATTTTATTTGAGAACATTCTAGCAGCAATATGCCATTGCCTTCTTGAATTTCCATCCTGTAGTTAAAACCTTCCTTAAAATGAGAAGTGAGTAATTAGGGTCTCAAACTTAAATTGTGCTGGTAAATCCCAAGTGTGACCTGAAGAGTTAGTCAAAATAGCCGTTGTACTTACAGAGAGAAATAGGCTCATTTCCAACATGCGAATATGCCTCTATGTTACTTAATTTGCATACTATGACAACTGCAGTAACTGGCTAATAAACATCTTCCCAACCCATTAATGAAGTGATAAATAACATAACCTTCATCCCTTTCTGAATGTCACTGAGGTATATAAATGAATTAAAAAATCATGTATTTTCTACCTATATGCACAAACATATATAGTCACATGTATGTTTCAAGATTTAAAGGTTTACTCAATTAGTTACTAGCACACTTACGGTAAATCTAAGAGTGATTTAAAACAAACAATAGTCTTGGAGAGAAACCTGAGTACTTGGTCACTGTGGATACCTGTTATTTGGTCATCGTTTTTCTCCTGTTTTCATTTAATTTAATCCAATTTCCCTAAACATTTACAGAAAGGCCAGTTCAGTTATTAAATATTTCATTTAGCAAAGTAAAATGATGGCTCAGGAGAGAAACTGTTATCCTTTTGGGTTCCTGCAAGCCACCATAGAAAACATAATTACTTTGAAAAATATATAAGCACGATGTGTTTCATAAAGAAAAAGAGCGTCTGAATGGAGTTCTGTAGAGTATCCTACCAATATGTTTGTATTTTAATGTTAAATAGTTAGCAATACATTACTATACTAACTTGGCATGAAAGAGCATTAGCTTTGCTAGGAAAGAGTTTCAAAGTGTAGACAGATCCTCAGAAAACAGCTGATCAAAATGACCTTAAAATAACCTCAGTTGGTTTTTTTTCGTCAGCTCTATAAAACTGCTAACCATTTATTTGAAGTCAGCTCCTTCATAATAGCAAAAGAAAAAAAAAAAAGCCAAGGATGATGAATCATCAGGAGGGAATTCACTACTACGAAGAGTTAAAAAAAAAATGAGGTTGACTCGACTTTTTTCCCCAATCAGCAGTTTGGCACAAAATGGCCCAAGTGTTGCGTGACTCCCCATCAGACCTGAGTTATACAAATCCAGAGCAACTGATAAGTAATACACATTTCTCAGGAGCTCTCCCCACGAACTCCAGCAGGACAATCCTGAGTCAGAGGCAAACCTGTTCAGAAGGAGAGAAACCCTGTTTGGTTCTAAACTGAAGACAACTGTAAGTGTATTCGTTGAATCACGTCTGCTGTTGTGCAACACATTCCTGGGCCCTCTCTTGAGCTCAGTTACAGTGAATCAGCGTCACACTATAATAAAGCTGTCTGAGCTGGAGGATCGAGGTCCAAGATTAACACATTCCCTCAGCAGGCAGGCAATGGCGGGCTATCTGCCCTCACAGTTGGGCAGATATTAACTCTTATCACATTACTAGGCTCCACAATACCTCACCTCTAATTAGGTTTCTGAACCATTTTGTTCATTACCGAGAAGCCCTTTTGAAAACATCCACGTCATTTTCCCATCAAGACTGCCTTCAACAATGAATGCATTCTGGTTAGCACCTTCTGTTGGATATCTGCTTCCAGATCTCACTGGGGATAGGGAGTGGAGACACAGTTTGCAGGAATAAGATGAAGAGTATATAGAGAGAGGTGATCCAGGCTATACTTGTATTAATTCAGCTTATGAGAATGAGCCACGAACAACAACAAAAATAGAAAAAAGAAAGCACAAGACAGAAAGACTGTACAAAGTAATCACTGTCTTGGTTACTTTAAAAATTTTTTAATTTTCATTTTTTATTGTGAATGTGAAGCTTTCCAGCAAGGCAGCATACAGTTAAGTTTTAACTACCATTTACTGATTCTTGCAAACTCTTGTGCTCCAAATGCTCTATTGTATTATAACTCCTTCCCTTCCTCTTCTTTTTTTCTTTTTTTTTGAGTTGGTATCTCATCCTGTTGCCCAGGCTGGAGTGCAGTGGTATCATCACAGCTCATTGAACCTTGAACCTCCTGGGCTCAGGTGATCCTTTTGCCCCAGCCTCCTGACTGCCATGACTGCCACCATGTCTGGCTAATTAAAAATTTTTTTTTGTAGTCACAAGATCTCGCTATGCTGTCCAGGCTGATCTCAAACTCCTGGGCTCAATCTGTCCTCCCACCTCAGCCTTCCAAAGTGCTGGGATTATAGGTGTGAGTCACTACACCTGACTGCAACTTATTTTCTATCTACATGAGTAGACTTGCTACTGAAGTCAGCACAGCACTTCAAGAAAACATAGGCTGCCAAAGGCGTGTAAATGGGGCTATTAATGAAACAATTTAGCTCTTAGAAATCACTGCATGGAATTATGCTTCATTTATCTTTATACATGATACTTCCTTAAATATTTTTCAGTCATACCTTTCAACATTATTTAACTTAATCATCCAGATCATCTTTCCTCTTTGAAAAACTTTCCCTATTAAGTTTCAGCTCAACTCTTCTTACATCCAAGAGGACCTCTATATAATTATGCAAAACCGACTAAATATAAACTCTTGTTTAAAATATTATTTACGCAGAAAGAATGGTAAAATGAAGATGATATAAAAAAGTCACTCATACAAATAGACATTTTACCAGTCATCATCAAACTACATCTATAACGACTCTTCTTAACAATAAAAGACACCTGAAAATCTCATGAGGTTTAAGGGTATTTAGGGCAGCAGATTTGAATTTCTAAAAAAGTAAACACCTCTTTGATATCTTACTCCCTAATTTACTTTTCTCTGTTTTACCATCGTTGCCATCAACACTTTCTCAAAAAAAGCAAAAACCAAATGCAAATGCTGATGTCAAAAACAGTAAAAGTTTTTGACAGTAAAGCTGTCATAACATCCCATAAGAATAACCTGAACAGATAGCATTATCTCCATTTAGTGGATAAAGACATATAGCTCAGGCAAGTTAAATGATTTGTCTAACTTCAAACACCTAAGGAAATGGCAGTTCTATGGCTTGACTCCAGAACTTGTGATCCTACATTCAGAGCTCAAATAAGGGCAATTCGTGAGGTTAGCTGGAAACAGGGATCATTTATTTTTATTTTATTTTATTTTATTTTATTTTTTTATTTTGAGTTGGAGTCTCACTCGGTCGCCCAGACTGGAGTGCAGTGGCCGCTCCCGGCCACTGCAGCCTTGCCTGCTGGGCTCCGGCGATCCTTCCGCCTCAGCCTTCATTTAAATCCTTCTTCTCCAGTCTTTTACTTTGATGAGAACTTTAAACACACACACGACAACCACAGTCACACACCCACAAAAACACAACATAACCTACCCCTTTTCCGAGTTTTGAACCGCTGGCCTGTTAGCACTGGCTTCTGATGCTTATTCATAAAATTTCTGAAACCAAAGAAAACAAAAATTATGTATTTCAAACAAGCAGTTCCCATGAAAAATAGATGACTAATAAGCATATATTCAACCTCGTCCATCACTGAATATAAATAAACTTTTTAAAATGAAATCTAAGTTTATCAGACCAGCAAAAATTTTAACATTTACCAATAGCCAGCACTGGCAAAGAATGCAAGTAAAAAGCCATAGACATCAAGTTTGGCAGAAAGTTTGAACTCCACACAATACTGTCAGGAAGCATTTGGCAAGTAGCTATAAATATTTATATGTGCATAGCCTTGGCCCAACAATACCTTACTGGGAGATTATCCTGCGGTTATACCCATATAGACGAATGCAAATATACTTGTGTATGTGTATGAGTAAAAAGATTTAGTTGCAGCATTGTTGGATTCCTGAGAAAATGGAAAGTGAAGTGCTTATAAATATGAGTCTGGCTAAATAAGCTATCAAGAGCCACCAAACAGAACATCATGAAGTCCTATGAAAGGAGGCAGATCTCACGGTTCCACATTCCTGGCCCTGGCTACCTCTGACTGTGTATGGACATTCAATCCCCATCTCTCCCTGTCACTCACTGAGTTCCAGCTCTACTGATCTGTTTTTCTTCCAAGGCCCGGTTTCTGAGGCTCTATGCCTGCCTCTTTCAGGGAGGGGCACCCCCCACTGTCCACGGCTTACTCCCTGATTTCATTCAAATGCCTCCTTCTCAGAGATGCCTTCCCTGACAGTCTCTACAAAAGTGGTCCTTTGTCACTGTCTCTCCTTACCCAGCTTTATTTTTCTTCAGAGGCTTCACCAGGATCTGCCTTGTTATTATTATCTGTTTGCGGTCTATTTCCCCATGAGACTGTAACCTCCATGAGGGTGGAGGACTGTGAGTTTTACACCAATACTGTATCTTTAGCTCCTAAATCCTGAGCCAAGAGGAAGCGGGTGATAAATGCTTGTCAAAAGAGCTTCTGCACCGAAATGGAAAGATGTTCAAGGCATATTGCTACTGAAAAAAGACAAGTTGAATAAAAGAATTTAAAGTATTTGGCTAAAAAGGAGGCGAATAGGATATATGCTTTTCCATGCAAGGAAAATGTAAGAAGACTACCACCCACTGTTGACAGGTTTTTAAATTTTTTTGTTTACCTCAGTGGATGTGGATTTGGATACTTTATATTCTTCTACTAGATTTAATATACAATTAAAAAAAGAAATTATCTGTGGAAAAAAGTCTAAAACCTGCTCCACAAGACTGCTTACAATTGAGAATAAACTTGCCGGCATAAATATTGTAAACTAAAAATGTGCCTAAACTGCTTAAATTATGAAGACCAAACACTTAAAATAATGGGCATTTTACAAGTACGTTATTTCATTATCTTTCAAAGCTTTTAACAATTGATTTGAAAATGTCTAGATTTCTTCAACTACTTACACCACGAAACAATAAAAAATGTTTACAATAATCAAGTAAATTAATTATTCCCCAAAGTTTTCCTAAAAATCCTTAATAACATGGAAAATTGCTGTTTAATTTATGCACCAAATCTTCCTTCTTTCCCGCTTCCAACTGAAACTTGCACCTTGACTTAAAGCAAACTTAATTATTGAAAACTCTAAATGAATCATTATCTTAGAAGTGAAACTAATTAAAAATAATAAACAAAAAAGTAATTTATTTGATGGTTTGAGTAGAGAGAATTTTTATCAATCCTTTAAGTAAAAAGAATTTGATACATCATGCTTTGAAGGAACTTTAGGTCAGAATCCATGACCTCAAGGAACCTAGTGGGAGGGATAAAATCCTAACATTTGCACGACGATGTGATAGTTGAAACACAGACCAGATCAAGGGTACAGAAAGTAACTGGTTGCTGTTTGTATATAAGTCAACAGCCACATATTGAATGCTATAAATTTAATCAATGAAATCCCATATCATTTGATGGATGTTGGAAATACAGTTTCTAATGCACTATTTATATTCAACTCAAAACTCATTCATTCAGAAATTTCCCTGTTGATATTTTCAACAGATTCACTCTGGATCAGCAAAAAAATTTTATTGGTGCAAAAGTGATGATGATATGTGTTTTCCTCATTGTCTACACATTTCTTAAATTCAACAAATATCACACAAAATGTATTCTTGTGTTTGCAAAGAAAAATATCGCTCAAGAGTATGGGTCTTGTACAAAAATGCAAAAACAACTAACCTGAAACCTCTCCAGCAGGGAAATATGCAAGCAAGGGATTACTCTCTGCTAAAGCTGTTTTTATATATACTTATTTTTAGAGATGGGTGTCTCAATATGTTGCCCAGGCTGGCCTCGAACTTCGGGCTCAAGTGATCCTCTTGCCTCAGCTTCTTGAGTAGGTGTGACGACAGATACACACCACAGCACTCGGCTAAAGAATTTTTTTTTAATTTTGTAATTCAAAAAATTTAAGGTGTGAGTTCTCTCTTAAATTTTTATTTTGGAGTTTAGAATGGAATTCCCTAATTAGCTCTATCTTTGCACCTTGTTTCTATTTCTTCTATTAATGGAGAATTACCACCAAACAGCCTATGAGACAATTACTTTATTTTCAAAATCTTTAGTGTTTATACTTACTTTACCTCTAAGCACAAATTTTGTTTCTTCATAGCCCAGATGTATGGGCTTACTTTTCTCACCCTCAATATGTTCCACGTGGAGAATGATGTAACACGTAAACATAAAAATGTGTATGCAAAGAGCTGGGCATCAACACAAAAAATTAAAACAAACAAGCAGAAAACTCACCCACTGGTAGTGACAGATTAAATGAAGATATTATGTCCTCCAAGAGTATCTATCCTTTAGCTGTTACTATTTGGAGCTGAGGTCCGGCTTCCCTCTAAATTTAGCTCTCATGCTACACTATGATCTGCTCCAGTGAGGGTCAGCCTTTATAAGGTACTCACTGAGCTCTTATAAAAGCCCTGGCCTAAGAGAAGAAGCAAGGGCACTTTGAATAAGAAACTGAGCTAGCTTAAACATTGGAAATACAAAGAAAGAGTAACAAAGACAGTTCTCTCAGGCCACTACCAAAAGCTAACTTTTAGTACTCTGCACTACCATTTACAATTTAAAATCAACTAACTAAAAATACATCAGTTAAAAAAAGAAAAGTTGAACAGAATCCTCGAAGCCAAATTTGTCTGGGATACAAACTATGCATCATGACAATTTGGTTTCAATTAAAACAACGAAAAGCCAAACACACAAAATTAAGCACATGTCCCACCAAAATGAAACAGTTCCAAGGTTTAAAAGAGTGTTAAAAATTGTAAGGCAGCTGGGCTCGGTGGCTCAGCCTGCAATCCCGCGCTTTGGGAGGCTGAGGTGAGTGGATTGCCTGAGCCCGCGGATTCGAGACCCGCCTGGGCAACTTGGCAAGACCTCATCTCTACAATAAATCAAAAATCAGCCGGACGTGGTAGTGTGTGCCTGTAGTTCCAGCTACTTGGAAGACTGAGGCAGAAGGATTGCCAGAGCCCAGCAGGTCGAGGCTGCAGTGGCCAGCAGTGGCCACTGCACTCCAGTCTGGGTGACAGAGTAAGACTCCAACTCAAAAAAAAGAAAAATTTTAGGTAAAATGGTAAACAAAATGGATTTAAGTATCTCACGTGTCATCTAAGAGACTCTGTTTCTTGAATACTCCAAAATATAAAAGACCATAAAATTACAAAATATATAAAAGACTCTAAAAATACTAAAATGATCCAATCACTAAAATTTAGAAACTAGATCCTCTGTTAATGAATTAAATACTTTAAAATAAATTCCTATTTAAGTGCAAATTGAAAGGTTTAATTGAAAGACTAGGTCTAGCCAGGCATGGTGGCTCATGCCTGTAATCCCAGCACTTTGGGAGGTGAAGGCAAGAGGATTGCCTGAGTCCAGGGGTTTAAGACCAGCCTGGGCAACTTGGTGAGACCGCATCTCTATGATAAAACAAAAAATTTGCCAGGTGTGGTGGTCTGTGCCTGTGGTTCCAGCTACTTGGAAGGCTGAGGCTGAAGGATCACCTGAGCCCAGCCGGTCGAGGCTGCAGTGGCCATGCGTGTGCCACTGCATTCCAGCTTGGGTGACAAAGTGAAACTCTGACTCAAAAAAAAATTAGGTCTAACATATTAGCTATACTTCACCCTACCTTACTCTCTTAAACTCCAAAGGGTCTGTTCAAGCTTCCATCCCTTAACTCCCAACCAGTCTCTGGGCCCAGGTAGAACAATGTGCCACTGGCCGGATCAATCTCATGGTAACTGCACACTAATCCTTTCAATTGCCCGGGCCACCTTAAGCGGATGGGCACCTTGGCTATCGGCTGACCAGTCTTGACTAGTACTTACCTTTCTTTCTCTCCATTTTGCAGAGGAACTGACCTACACGGGAACGTCCCTACAAGGGAGTGACTGTCCTTGCCTAGTAATCCAGAAGTTTTGTCTTAGGCTCTATTTTTGACCATTCTTCTGGTCTAGTCCATGTTTGAACTATGATAACCTGCCTTATACAACATGCTATCATAGTAATATATGCTATGCATATAATAACTACACTATTCACACAAGCTTAACTTTATGAACAACATATAGACTCTACAGTGGGGTCATGACATTTTTTTTCTGTAAAGAAATAAAAGGAAAATATTTTAGTCTATGTGGGCTAGACAAATAGGTTTCTGTTCCAACTACTTAATTCTGCTGTGAGTTTGAAAGCCGCCACAGACAATATGCAAACAGATGTTCATGGTTGTATTCCAACAACACTGTTAACAAAACAAGGGGTGGACTAGACTGGGCCCCCAGGTGGTAGTTTGTGAAGCCCTATCTAGAGCAGTATATCCAATCAAGCTGTCTATGTTGCCTAATATGGTAGCCACTCTTGAGCCCTTGAAATGTCACTCATGTAACTGAGAAACTTGAACAGCAGTGTGGTCAATGGCCACCATATCGGGCAATGCAG